CAAAAAAAGAATGGTCACTACGAGGGTCGAACTCGCGACCTTGGCGTTAACTGAAGGTCCGTTTGTAGGAGCAGAGCTCCTAGCGATGGATTATTAGCACCACGCTCTAACCAACTGAGCTAAGCGACCTATTTGGTTTTTTTGATGGAAGACATGGAGAGAGGAGGGCTTATATTCCGCGAGAAACAAAAGGTTGTTTGGTTTTTCAGTGGCGTTGGTAAATTTGGTGGGGGAAGGAATTCCCTGGTACGGGGACCGGAGTTGGTGGGGCGGAGCCAATCGAACCGAGGATAGCGGCCGCCCAAGTAGACTCGGCTGCAACGTTCATGCTTGGTTTGGCTTGCTTCCGAAGCGCAGTTAACTCAAGATTGCGTCTTTTTTGTTTGTTGTGAAAAAGCTCGTGTGTCGGCATTTACAAAAATACGAGGTCGAAATCTACCAAGGCCAACGCCGTTGCGATGACAAGCCGCCGAATACGTGGATAATCTCGGTAATCGTGTGTCGTCATCCGTTGTACGCGCATTCAAAAGACCGTTTTTTTTGTGATCGCAACTCGCCGTGAATCTTCGGCCCGTCGTAACAAGCATATTATCTCTTTCTAGCAGTTTGCGAAGCCATGCCATCTCGGGCGGTCAACCGCCCAGCTGCCCTAGGTACTTCTCCACCTCATCATTGCCGTAAAACATGGTCTGCAGTTTTTCATGCTTCTTCTTCTCGACCTGCGCAAGTTTCCTGACTCTACCGGCATCGAGCCTACCCTGCTTGACATCTGCACGACTTGCACCGCCCAACGCCTTCTGCTTTACATGCTCTTTCTTGTCTATGCCTAAACCAAACTTGTCGCGCTTCTCTTTGGGTACGAGCGGGAACAACATGCCCTGACCACTTGATCCCAGACCTTTTCTCGCATCTACGTCAAAGCCGTGCTTCTCCATGTACTTGAGCCCCATCCTCGTTCGGTCTATGGCCGAGGGGATGGGTGCGCGGGGGAGAGCAGCTTGATGCGCAGGACTCAGATAGTGAATGCGCTGATCAGACTCCTTGACAGGCTCACCACAGATGCCGCACCGAGGATATGCATCGGGCTCTGGCTGTGGCTGGCCGTTTGGGAACATAATGGCAAGATACTTTTCCGCCATGGTCTTGCCATTTGTCGATGCAGCTGCTGGCTGTGTCTCGGGGGTAGACGAGACGAATTGAATGGGATTCTTCCAGAGACCCCGGCCAAAAGCGCGCTGCTCGACAAACGGTGCGGTGGATATGTCGGGATCATCTTCGGGAAGTTCATCTCCCGATGGCTGCTCTTTAGACGCGTGTGTCGTAGAAGATGCCGTCATTTTCTTTTTGTGGCAGACAAATCACGTAGAAGCAATAAGGGGGTGCAGCGTGTGGGCTTTTATCTGGATGAGTGAATCGGCGGCAATCTGTTGAACGCGTAGTCACGTGATATGACGCCACGTGCGTCCCTGGGTTGGGCATTAGCGAGCCACGGTAGAGCCGCGTCCCCGAAGCCTTCCCGTTCCCACTTTCCGCCAAGAAACATGCCCGTCAACATCATCGCCCAGGCCTTCGCCGAGGGCATTGATTCTATTCCCTATGGCTGGACCATAATCAAGGCTGTGGTTGTCTTTGTAGTCATTTATGTGCTGAAATGGTACTTCAATGGCGCCAATAACGGTTCTGAGAGGAACATGCACTCCAAGGTGGTCATGGTCACGGTAAGACTTTAGCGTTTGATATTGAACCCTACTAAGGAAAGCAGGGCGGAACAACCGGTATAGGTGCTGAAGTAGTCAGAGGCCTGGCGTCTCGCGGTGCACAAATTGTCCTCCTCGTCCGACAGCCACTCGTCGACCCCTTTCTCGTCGACTACATCGAAGACCTACGTACGCAAACCGGCAACGAGCTCATCACTGCCGAGCATGTCGATCTCGAATCTCTGCACAGCATACGCCAATTCGCAACAAAATGGGTCGATAACGCACCGCCCCGACGTCTGGACATGATTGTTCTCTGTGCAAATACCATGACACCCCCTGGAAAAAAAGCAACGCAGACAGAGGATGGCTTGGAGTCGACTTGGGGGTTGAACTACATTGCCAACTTCCATCTATTGAGCATCCTTAGCCCAGCGCTTCGAGCGCAGCCCCCTGATCGTGATGTTCGAATCATCTTCGGTACCTGCTCTTCATACATGGGAGGAAAGCTGCCGGGCTTGGAGGACAAGTCGAAGAAGAATGCAAAGAGTGAGCCTGGACAACTGGATTTCACACCATCGACCGTATACGCAACATCGAAGCTTGCCCTGATGACGTTTGCCGTCGCCTTTCAAAAGCATCTCTCCAAGTATGACCGTCCAGACAAGAAACCAATGAATGCGCGGGTTATCATGGTAGATCCAGGCTGGACACGCACGCCTGGTATGCGACGCTATTTGACCTTTGGTACGCTTTGGGGTCTGGCACTATACACTATTACATGGCCGTTTTGGTGGATGGTCCTGAAGAGTGCCGATCAAGGTGCACAAACTTTCCTCTACGCAGCCATGGAGGCCCAGTGGGGCAGGGGTGAGGGCGCGTATTTCCTCAAGGAGTGCAGAAGATCCATCTGGACCAGGAAAGATATCGACGACGAGCTTCTGCAGAAGAAGCTGTGGGAAAGCAGTGAGAAGACGATTGAGATTCTTGAAAAAGAGAGCGCGAAGAGGAGAGCAGCTGAGAAGAAACAAAAGGAAAAGGCCGAGGGCAAGACCGCTGCAAAAGCGGCCAATGGACAGGCCAAAAAAGCTTAGTTCTTAGGCGTTAGATGGTCGATGTGGTGAAGGGTTATTGCAGAGATGAGTAATGTGGCAATGGTTTTAAATGTACTGGTTTTTATGATAAAAGCGTTTGTGCTTATTTGCATGTACATTTTGTGCCTGCTAACAAGCCACGAGATTGTCAGACCATGTTGTTGTGTTAAATGGCTAGAGAAAGCAAAAGTTGAATAATCATTCAATTAGACTATATTCCTTGTAAGCATTCACTGAGTGTCCGAAATACTGCAGTCTTTGTTACCAGTATCTAGAGTTTTGGCAAGGGCCAAGTGACGGTATTAACTCCGCCGGTATGATTTTTGCAGTACCGACCGGCGCCGGCATGTTTTCTTTAGTACAGCATCTGTCATACCCTATACAAATAATCTGCGTCTTCTCACCAAACTGATCCCCGGGTTAATGATGCACCAAAATTCATTGCATAACAGCGGGCATGTGCTCTGGGTCTGGATATCCCCTTACGAGCATCAACCGTGGGACGAAACAAAAAACAAGAAAGCATAGGGGAGTGGCATGAACACAATGCAACTTGAATCAGCAATCTCTCGAAAGAAGAAGATAATCAAGATTTGAGTATTTCATGCAGTTCTTATAGTCGTAATGGAAAGGGATATATCGAAAGCATATTGCGATCAGCGAGACGTTACAACCATTGCAGAGATACGCACATGCGGCCTAGTTTTTGCCGTTTTTCATCATTAAGTACTCAATTATACACATGCCTGTGCTTGGCACAAACGAGCCATGAAATAGAGGCAATAACGGACCTCGCTGTTCGGTACCCGAAACTTGTACACACCATAATGCGATATAGCGACACGGTCCTCTTTACCCCTTATTCCTTTACACCTACGAGCAAGAGCCGACTCGATCAAAAGAACAAGGTCTTGGAAAGGAGATTGGTTACTGTTTATTTCCTAGTATGAAATATAGAGCCCCTCATGCAAGAGTTTTGGTTGGAAAGAAATCTTCCCGCGTAAAGTGCCGGGCGGCCAAGTTCACGATTTTGATGCGGAAAGACGGCAATAGTTGCTTGGTACGGCTAAAATCTGGGCAACGGCTGCAGTCAAGAGAGTAGCTACTATAGTCTGTGTTGTCAATGGTCAGTATTGACCGCTCTCTGGTAGTGGCGGTAGCGGTGTTTTCAGGAGGTTCATGCCTTGTTGCATTGTCGACAAAGCACTGGTATGCTGAGCGCACAAAACAACAAAAAGCCTGATATCGTGACTGACGGCGAGGCTGCAAAGAACGGCGCATGCACCTCATCCGTCCCTGCATTCCCTCTTAGCGGAGCACCATGTGGGCTGTCCTGGAGACGGTGCATGGAACCCCTGTCGTGCTTATAAAGTGGAAATTCGACAACAACGCTAGCGATGTCGTTGATAGGTGTGCCATTGGCCGGTCAGCCACTTCTCCCCACGCCAACGGGAAATGAGATCCAAGCCAAGCGGTGTTGCGAGGTAGAGTGCTGTCATACGGCGAGGCTGCCGGCGCTGACGAAGAGCAGGTTTTACGGCGCAGTGTCTTCGCGCTCACCAGGCATGCGACCGGTACAGCAAAAGCACAACACCAAGTCGCGAATCTAGTCGCCAATCAAGACAAAGGAGAGCATGAGAACAGCGTCCTGGACCAGCGATTCATTTTGACCAGCGCGTGATTGTTATCCAATATGCTCGCCCGCGGCTATATCCTACTGGCGTTGCTGCAATCTTAAATTTGCGCCCCTTGTTAGCCGCCCTTTCTCCAAACGGGCAGGCGGATGAGCATACTATCGTGAGTTGACGAGCCGCCTCCCCAGTTTCAAATACTGCCGGGATCCTCTTCATCAATCTGTTTCTCTCACGCATCTCTCTCCAAACCTTACGCTCATTACACTTGGTTGCCTTGCGTTGTTTTCGCTCCATCCCCACACTCATTTTCGCCTTTCTGCTCACGCCACGAGATAACCAAAAACGCTCATTTCCAATCAATCAACACCAAACAAAAGCAAAAGTATGCGCTTCTCCACTGCTGCTGTGGCGCTCGGTGCGCTCTTCATGGGCGCCAGCGCGGACGTCGCTGATATTGCGTAAGTCAACTCCACATTTCATTCAAAAATCCATGATCAGCAAAAAAAGAAGCGCGCGACTACCACGCGTTCTCTCCACAAACACGATCTACCCAGCGCCACACCAATGAACTCTTGGCTAACCAAAAATCCTCCCCCAGTCCTGAAATTCAAACTTCGGTCCTCATGGTCCTCGCCCACGCCATCCCTTCGGAAAGCATATCCTTCGCCGTCGCCAGCCCTGCGGCCTTTGCCTCAGAAATGGCTTCGTGCCTTTCTGCCAGCAGCACCCCGGCGTGGTACCAGGCGCTGCCGACCGACGTGCAGAGCCTCCTACCCCAGATCTACCCTAATGAGACGCCTACCCCCAGCCCTACTCCCTCGGCCACCCCTTCGTCGACTCCCAGCCCTACTCCTACCCCTTCGTCCAGCGCCGTTGTCACGCCCTACCCGACTGCAGGCTTGAACAGCACGAGTGCTATTACCAAGCCTCCTACCAGCGCTACTGGAACCATCAGCTTGAGCTTGATCCCTACCCCCAGTGCTACCGGCCCTGAAGGCCCTGCTTTTACCGGTGCGGCTTCCAAGCTTTCGCTCAGCGCTGGTCTTGGTGCTGTCATCGGTCTGGTCGGTGTTCTTGCTTTGTAAAGAAGATGTACGTCTTCTTCACTCCGCAAACTACTTTTCTTCTTTGGTCTGCATTCTTTGTCTTTCCCAGTTCACTTCATGGTATTGCATGCCATGAAGTGACGAAGATATTGAAGAGTGTAAGAATTATTTTTTTTACAGGGCAGTGCCTCTATTCCTTTTTTTTTTGGTTGGCTAAGCTCACAAACGCCTTTCTCACGACGCGATGTTGTTACTCCTTCTCTCAGAAGGAATGATCCGCATTATACCTTTTTTGGAACTTTTTCTTGTTTGATTTAACTGGCGGATACGAACATGTTTTGATGGGACATTATACCTCATGAGAACCTGGTTGTTAATGTTTTTTGTCTTGTATTTGCCGGGCTGGGGTTGAAAGTGGTGGGCCAGAGGGAAGAGGACTGGGATGATGATGAGATGGGAGATGATGCTAGTAGCAGTCGTAGTATATAGCTTTTTGTTTAGTTTTAATTCTTAACCAGTTCAATGCTGGATAGCTCTCTTTTTTATTGTTGGTTCGTGATAAGATTGCACGGGTGATATACTTGCGACGCGGGAGCAGGGTTCTTCTTCGTGTTGTACTGGGCGGCTCGGTCCGTGGAGTGTGGAGGGGAATGACACGCGTCGATCTCGTATTGATGGTTAGTAATGCCTCTGGTCAGTGTGGCGTTGGATATTAGCAAATTCCAGTGTTCGGCAGTCAGGTTAGATGGGTTTTGTCTTGCTCTTCTGGATGCATCAATCCAGTTCTTAGTAAGACGTTTTCATATCGTGGTTCGCATACCTGTCGTGCATATCAACTCACACATTACTCCTCGTGATACCATGTTCGTCTACTAGAGATCTCATGATATTCTAGCGAACTGTGTGCTGCGCATCAAGTCCCTAAAGCTCAGGCGTAAAAGTCACAGAATCACTGTCAGCATGCATGCACCAATAGTACGCAACCAATCCTTACACTCCCGTCTCGAGACTGGTCTTTAAGACAACTATTATACTCCACCAAATCACAGATTCAGATACAACGGCATGTACTGGATATGTCTCACGTTATACGTCGATACGGAAACTTTGTCGGAGACATTTCATCTGCAACGTAGGTCAGCACTCGAATCGGCGACTTTAACCCCATCCCGCGAAGCTGAGTGGCGTCTACACCTTACAGCAAACCAACACCTTTTGTGTCCAATCAGATCATTCCCCTTTTCTGAGCATATTTAGATATCTCACGGAGGCTTTGGGAGAGTTTACTAGCGGAATCGTCAAGCAGTGTTGGTATATAAAGTCAGTGTGAGAAACTCGCTGGAACAGAACAAGAACCCCCGTCTTTACATATCCTCAACACACCAACCCACCTGTCCCCGACTCATCTACTCTTTCGAAAAAAAATAAAGATATATAAGCAATAATGCCCCTCCGCCGCCCCCCAATCTTTGACATCCTAATCATCGGCGGCGGCCCTGCAGGCCTCAACGCGGCCCTCACCTGCGCCCGCACCCGCACCACAGCCCTAGTCCTCGACTCGCAGCAATACCGCAACCAGGGCATATCCCACATGCACACCGTCGCCTCCCGCGACCACATGGCGCCGCAGGATTTCCGGGACATAGCCCGCGAGCAAATCGAAGCCCGCTACGACACCGTCTGGTTCCACACCACCATCATAACATCGGCGCGCAAATCGCTCTTTCCCCTCCCCTCCTCCTCCTCCTCCCCCTCCCTCCACACACCGTACTCTGGTTTCGAAATCACCGACAGCTCCGGCATTTCGTACCGCGGCAAGAAACTCATCTTAGCCACTGGGTCACGAGATATCCTCCCGGATATACCGGGCTACGCGGAAAACTGGCCCAGCCACATCTACCAGTGTCTCGCGTGCGACGGGTACGAGCAGCGTGGAAGCGCCGTTGCTCTTCTGGGGTTCGATACACCCGGTTACGCGCATTTTTTGCATATGGCTAAGGCGCTGGATCCGGAGTCAATTACTATTTTGACGAATGGGCCGGTAAAGGAAGATGGCAAGGTGAGGGAGGCGGTGGAGGTGGCGAAGGTGATGGGGGCTACGCTGGATGAGCGGAGGATTGTGGAGCTGGTGAATAATGGCCCGAGCCATGTAGAGGGTGTGACTATACGGTTTGAGGGAGGTGGAGAGAGGAGGTTTGGGTTTGTGGTACATAAGCCTGTAACTGTGAATCGGGCGCAGGGGTTGATTGAGGAGTTGGGGGTGGAGACGGTGGGAGAGGAGATGGGTGGGCATGTGAGGATTGTGAATGCGATGTTTAATGAGACGAGTGTTGCGGGCGTGTTTGCAGCGGGGGATACGATGGTGGCGATGAAGCAGGTTGTGATTGCAATGGCTGAGGGGCTGAAGGCTGCGGCAGGGGCGGGGATGCAGATTCTGCAGGAAAGGACGGCGGAGGTGATGAGGGGGATGGGAGAGGAGATGGAGAAGGAGAAAGTGAATGCTGTGTCGCACTGAATGTGTGAGTGTACTCGCTGGACATCAAGGAAGATAACAATCCTTTTGAGGAAGTGGATTCGTTTCCTAGTGAATGTAACTTGTTCATATTCAGCAAATCCGTACTGACATACCGAGATAGTGGCTCTTTATCCAATTTGAACCCTTCTTTACCTCCCCTCTCTCAACTACGTCCAAATACAAACCTACCTCACTCATTCTTCTTATGAATCCTGGGCAAACAAAGCCAGAACCCAAGAATCACTGCCAACAGCGCCAGAATAATCGGCTGCAACACCTGCACGCCCTTTGCCTGCGCAATAGCGCCGACCGCAAAAGGAAAAATAGCAGCTCCGCTCCCACCGAACGCAGCCGCAAACCCTATCGCACCGACATGCAAGTGACGCGGGAGCAATTTCGTAGCCGCGACGATTGCAGCGGGGAAAAGAGGACCGAGGAAGAATCCCTGCAAACTAACTGCAACAGCCGACACGTAGAATTGCGGGACGAGCCAGAAGATCAGCTCGAGGGCCATGGTTAGCGGGAGGTAAATCTATTTCCCCGTGCGTCAGTCATCAAACATCCTTGTACCAATTAAAAAAAGAGTAAGACCAAAACTCACCGTAATAGCCAACTTCTCTCCCAGTCGTGGTGTCACGAAGCCCAGTACAACTCTTCCCACGGTGATTCCCATCCAGAAGCCCGTTGCAGTCATTCCACTCGCGAATTCCTCGCCGTCACGCACCTCGAGCATGAATTTGACGATCCAGCCTCCAAGGGCAACTTCGATGCCCACGTAGCCGAGCAAAAACAATGCGCAGAGCCAAGTGACTCTAGCCTGAGGAAGGCGGAAAAGCGCTTCCTTCATGCGGTTGTCCTTTGTATCCGTGGTACGGGGGTTAGCAGCACGGTACTTTGCGCCCGTTTCGCGCCAAAAGGCAGTCATTGACGTGCCGAGCTCGAGGACAGCCATACCGATCTGCAAACGTTGTTACCATGAGATGATGATTCTATGTGAGTTTCTGGGGAAAAGGGAATATTTGACGTACCATAACGTAGTAGAAGGAATACCACGGCAACCTGTTTCCTTTTGTAACCATAGTCGTAGCAATCAACGGGGCAAGTACAGCACCAAGGCCGTAGAAAGCATGCAAGAAGCCCAGAACCTCGTTCGGATTCGCCATGTTACCGATCCAGGCATCTATGTTCGTCGTCAGCATCTTCTTTTTTTTAAAGGAAAAAAATATGTCACTTACTCCACGCAGCATCAGCAAGTCCATTTCCAAACCCAGCCAGCATAAAAATAACAACCAAAACGGGATACGGCGGGTGCACAGCAATAACAATGTACGCGATCAAATGGCAGCTCGGTGCAATAATCGCAACGCCCCTTTGCCCAAACTTGAGATGAATGGAATTGTTGAGCAGCGCCGACGCCGTGTATCCGACGAGTGGCGATAGGAAGACGAGTGAGATGACTACAAAAGATAGTCTGTAGTACTCTTGAAGCTATAATTTCCGAACAAAGAAAAAAACATATTAGCAAATTTCTCCATACTTTGTGTTTATTCTTTGTATGGGTTTTCTTTTCATCTTTCCGAGCCGTGTTTCAAGCAACAGCTTTAATGCATTGTCGTCGGAGAAATATATCTCAAGTGGGGGAAAAAAAAAGAAAAAGAAAAAGGGGATGGTCAAAACATACATATGGGATCAAAGCTCCATAGGCGGCATCATTACTCCCCATGACCACAAAGCTCCAAAACGCAGCTGCCGTACGGAAAAAGTTTGAGCGAGGATGATTCCACCGCTCCAGCTTCTGCGCTGCTTGTGTCGTCGGCGACGGTAGATTCTCCACGGGATCACTACTCTGCACGCCCTTTGTATCTGAAAGGCGCAGACCGCCGCCACCAGCAGCAGCACTACTACCATGAGTAGAATGTAGCGAGCCGGCGGCTACTTTGGCATCTGGGGGCTTGGAGAGGTACTCGGAGACGTCCTGGAGCTCGATGGGGTGCTCGAGGCAGGTTGATGCGCTTCCGTTTTGGTGCATCGCGGCCGCCATTTCTTGGGGTATTGTCTGGTGGTGAAAAGGGTTGTTGTTGGAACCGGTTTGAGCAAAGAAGGTTTGGGTGCGTGCACAAAAACGGTCCAACGTTATCCTCGGATTGTTTAAGTACACTACGAGCTATGCGATGACGTTGGTTTCCGACTCCACAGTCTCCAGAGAGGTGTGTGTGTGGGAGGGGGAAAGAAAAAGAAAAGAAACACAAACGCACTTTTCGCACCGCCGTTTTTACCGTGCTTCTTGATCACTGGCTGACTGGCTGGCTGGGCTATTCAGTCATTCATCGACATTGCTGTTCGACTCAACAACTTTGGTCGTATTTCTCCACACGACGATGCACGTTGTCGGCCAATCAGTCGCAGGTGCATCTCGCACTTTAGCGTCAATCGCGGTGCGGGCGGGTGATGTTCGGGAGATTACAGAAGAGGGTGGCGGAGAGAGGGTTTCCCCAGGTTTTCCTCGGCTTGTCGGCCCGACTTGCAGCAAATCGACTTGTCTCCCTACACGTGACTTTTGTTTTTGCAAAGAAAAATAACACATCGTATACAGCACACGTGGACCAAACTACTACGTACGCGACAGAGACTGCGACATCCTGCATGACAAATTTCATGTCATAGAAAGCCGGGTGGGTGGGCGAGCAGGTTCGTCGTGCAAGTCAGAAACGTTGTCGAGCTTGGGTGGCGCACCTTGTTCCCGGTTCTACTCTGCTAATAAATGCCCTAAACTCGAAGTATTGATAAACTGCGAGCTGAAACCGCGCCCGTTGCAACGAGGGGGGTCCACCCCCACCCACTCCAATACATGCAACGTACCCGAACTTGTCACAAGTAATGCACAATCTCCAACTCAGTTATTCACCGCTGTACTTGCCCCCCTTCCCTCCTACCCCCCAAACGAGTCAGTCCCCGCGTCGCATCAGTGCCTCGAGAAATATATGGGAAAACAAAGAAATGGATTTTTTTGGATGATATTTGAAAGCGTTATCGTGTTTATCTTATACCTTGCCTTACCCCCTGCCATTAACTGAACCTATATACCACTACCGTGTGTGAGACGAGATGGGATGATTCACGGAATCTTCCTTACCCGGTTACACACCTGTTTTGCTGCTGCTGCTGCTTGCTCCTCCTCACCCTGCGCCTCTTCTTCGACTACCTATTGCCATTTTGCTTGAAGGGTATCTTGATGTGTGTGTGTGTTCGTCTCTTCCCACCACCAACAAACAACCAATCAGACTTAGTGAAGAAAAAGTGAACACAAAAAAAAGACATGAACAATGCGGATAAAGGAAAAAGAAAAAAAGGAAAATAGCAGTACAGTCGAAAAAATGTTCATAGATGAGATTTCAACACTTGCATTTCAACGACTGTAGAGAAAAAAAAAGTTTTTGTCCATATACACATACTTCGCTCCCGTGAAAAAAAAACGTCTCTTGCTAGGTTCTTTTGCTCGCTCCAGTCTTTCGCACGTAACCCTGTTCAAAAGGGGAATATTGACAACGGGAAGACTCTTTCGCAGCGCTAGCTTCGGCCCATTTCTTTTTAAAAGACGAGGGTGAAAGCGTTTATGAGGGCTGGAGGACAGCGGGGCCGGCAAGGATCTCAGAATCGGTAATGGCCTTGCTCTTGGTGATCATCATGTAGACTTCACCAGAGATGCCGTCGGGGACCTTGCAGTTGCCATCGGTGATGTCCGTGAATTGGGGACCGGTACTGTGTAAAGTGTTAGTCTTTGAATCTAATACTCCAAAAAGCGAATGTGAAAAACTTACGGAGCGACGAAAGCGCAGAACTTGGCACCAGAGGGCTGAGCAGGGTCGGCGAGCTTGAGGTTCTGGCCAATGGTAGCCTGCTCGGGGTTCTGGAGGGCGATGGATGGGAAAGGCTGGATGTTGAGGTTGGAGCCTTGAGGGCACGACTTGATGAATTGAGCGGCGAGGGTGAAGACGGCACGAGGTTCAAGAGCGACATCGAAAGCAGCGGGGACAGGCTCGGCACCGGCGGCGACACGGATGAAAGCCTGGTGACGGGCCTCGACGGTGACAATGGATCCCGCGGCGGCAAGGACATCGGAAGAGTTGATAAGAGGGGCGGCACCCAGGTAGGCGGAGATACCGACAGCCTCGAGGACACGCGCAGTCTTGACCATGGCGTCGGCGCTCGCGAGAGCAGCGTCAAAGTTGTAGTCGCAGGGCTCGACGGGCTTTGCGCCAGCGCCGGTAATGGCAGACTGGAGAGTGGTTACGTGGGTGGCCTCGGTCTGGCCAACCATCATAAGACTCTTGACCTGGGTCTCGCTGAGACCAAGGGCCATGAAGTCGCTCATGGGGAACTTGGCGAAACCCATGCTGTAGAATTTTGATTCGAGATGCTCGGCAGTCAGGGCACTTTTTGTGGTCAGCTTCTGCTCACCACCATTGAATTCCAGTCGTGCACTTACAAGTTGAGGATGTCAACATCAGTCAATTTGCCTCCTGCTGCTGCTGCCGCTGGGGACGCCGATGGGGACGCCGATGAGGATGACGCCGCTGAGGATGACGCCGCTGAAGCCTCTGCCTTCTCGGTAATCGTTGGGGGCATTGACATTGACATCGAGGCCATTTCCCGACGACCGTACTCGGCAGGGATGGCAGCCACAAGAGGCGCCACGGCCACGAGGCCCTTGAGTATGGATGTTATGCTCGGCATAGTGATGAATTAAAGTTTGTTGGTTCGGTGTTGAAAAGGTTAGACAAGTTGGTAATGAGGGACCTCCAGCAAAGACTCGCTTTGGATTCGATTATTAAAAATTGTCTAAAAAAAAAGTCCAACCAGGGACTGAGAAAAGGCAAACCGTAAGGAATGTGGTTTGATTATTAGGTACGGAAGAGAAGAGAGAAGAAGCTCGTCGATGATGAACCAACTGAAAACAAGTATGGAAACAAGGTGGGCTACCAATGGACCTTATAGATACTGCTGCGACTCCTAGACCGCATCTGAGACGCCAGACTAAATCCGGAGGACGGATGTAGTGTTCGTAGCGGACAGTGGATTTCCCGCCCATGCACTGGCGTCCCTAACCAGATCCGTGACTGTTGAAGCTTTGGAGCTTGGCGGATTGATCCATTGATCGTCAAGGAACTGCCCACTGACAGGGTAGCAACCGGCGAGTTCGTCTGGCACGTTGTGATGGGGTTAGTGGTGGAGGCGCGTGATGTAGCAGGTCCAGGGGCCTGTGACGCGAAGGCCGACCCTGAAACCCCAAGAGTACCAACACGAGCGCGGAGACAGCAGAGCCGCCCTTGGAAATACTCGACTGCGAGCCATAACGCATGGAATAATGGCGGCGGTACGCAGAGTTTCCGTGCGGAACGGTGATGTGGCTCATGACATGAGGCTTGAAGCAAACAGCTCTTCATGTCAATACGAGTGTGTTTCTAGCAAGAAGACTGATGTTTGCGGCCGTTTCAACACCAAGGCTGCAGCCGCCTCGTAGTGCGCGTGCACTCAGGCTGGACAGCGGGCGCGAAATTTTCTTCTCGTTGGCGGCGGTTATCGAGGGGGTTGGTGGATGAGTAGTATAGACAGTGTTAAGATACCAAGAGCGAGGGGTTGTAAGCGTGGCTGAGGTATCCAAAACATTAACAAGTTGCCAAGTCTTATGTAGAACCACTGACATTTCGGCTCTATGGACCTGACACCTTAGGCCCCAAGGCGCGAGAAACGAATGCAGGTACAGGCACACTAGTCGACCAAGCCCGGATTGGGCATGGGAAGCAGTAGATCCGTTGGTGGAGATGCCTTGCCCCAGTATCACCTTGAGGCCCGGATGCCGGCAGCTTGTCGCAATCGATCCCACCGGGATAAACAAAGACCGGTACTTACGCAATGCAGGACCATGTTTCCACCTCACACAGCCAATGTCTGTCTAATCTTGCTCTCCGGACCGCCATGTCGCGTGTCAAAACCTGGTCCTGTCAAAAGCCCGAGGCCGCATGCCATACCACACATGTAGCCTTACCAGGCACCCGCGAGATTTGTGGAGTTGGCTTCAATGCACACGCCCGTCACGGTCAAACAAGCTTGAGATCTTCACCCGGGAACACGTGCCTTTGCAAGGTTAACAACACATTAAAATGTACTATCCACTACCGCTACTGCATATAAGAGCTGCAACCGTGTATGTCGCGACTTAGGCTACTTGGCCGCATGCACATAAACAATACACAGATTTCCGTGCTTTTCTTGGCCCATAACCTAGTAAATATCCTTCATTCAATTTTTTATACCAAGACAACAGGTGCCAGGTCTGCCCACATGTCCAGACACGCTATTGCATCCTAACCGGCAGGCGCCCACACAGAGTCAAGGCGTCCAAGTTGCCTAGAGGGCATATGGGTTCAGGGATCGGATGGTCAAGCAACTAAAGGTTTTCGGTTAGCAGAGTTCAAAAAAATATCGACAAGCACATTAACTTACGGAGGACTCTTGGTCAGATCCGTCTTAAGAATGACTGGAACCCTCGTCATCTCCCGTACGTCCTGGATGTAGTCGCCGTTCTCCTCGCGCAGAGTGAACCAGCTCAGGTACTTCTCCTTGTTGGTCAATTTGTTCTCTGCAGCCTCGCCGGCACTTTGGGCAATCTTCGAATCCGAGTTGACGCGGTGAGGAGCGCCAGGAAGATCGCGCCTGGTGGGCGAGGGGGGCATACTCTGAGTTGGGCGGTCGGGGTTCAGCGATACACCAGCCATGTTCGAGTTGAGGTCGTTGGCATCATCATCGTCATCATCGTCGTCAAATAGCGCAGCCTCCTCGTTGGTCGACATGGTGCCCGTGTCCATCTGCCTGCGCTGAGCTTCTTCTTGTTCTCTCGCACGCTGCTTCGCTGCCTCAGCCTCACGCGCGGCTGCGGCAGCATTGGCTGAACGGAGTGAGCCATGCTTGGGTCGCTCGTCCTCTGGGATGTAGTTGGATGATGGAACACCCTTCTCCCAGTAGAGCTCAAGCAGACGCTTGTTCTTGTCGAACTCGGCCTTCTTGAGAGGAAGCTGGTCACAATGGACGCGCTTCTCGAAGCCCCACTCGGGAATGAGCACGTCGAAAGCAGACTCGTACACGCAGAGGACGATACCTTCCGCGATGAGATCACCGCCACTCTCCTGCCTGACCTTGTCCATCTTGCGGCAAGCTTCAATGTGAACGCTCTGCTCTTGGGCAGAGTGAGCCGAGTCCTTCTTGGTGTTGCACATCTCAGCAGTCTTGGCGAGAGCCTCAATGTCTTCGGTGAACTCAATGGCACCGTTTGACAGGACAGCCTCCAACTGGCGGTGCACAACAATATCGGCATAGCGGCGGGATGGGTTGGTGAAGTGAGTGTACCTGGGGAGGTTGAGGGCGTAGTGGGGATACTGTTCCTCAGGTAGCTTGCCCGCGATAAAGTACTTGGCACGGGGCATCGACTTGATAACTAAGGTCTCCATACCCTTTCGGAGATCGTCATCCTCAACCTCGAACAAGCTGTTCTGGAGAGAACCGCTGCTCTCTGTGTTGAGCTCGTATCCAATGGCACCCATGCGCTCCGCAATTGTCATCAATCGGCGGGGGTTGGGAGGTGCTTGGCGGCGCAGAAGAGCCTTTTCTGGCAGGCCTGCCGCAAGCTTCTTCGCAACGGTGGCGTTGACGAGGTGGCTGAGCTCTTCAATGCATTCGTGCGCAGGAGAAGAGTCGAAAATGTTTTGCTCGACAGGAACGTTCTCGTCGTCCAATTGGTACATTAGGCGCAGCGCCTTGACGTCGGAAACGCGATCGCCAAAGCGAGTCTGGCGGAACTTTTGCGAGATGTGATGCAGCATCTTGATGTCCTTAGCACGGGCTGCCGAGACTGAATCGTCGTTGCCGCTGATAACGGAGTCGACCTCGTCATACGACAGCTTTCCAGAGCTCTTGATCACAGACTTGCCAATCCAAGTCTCATCTTCAAAGACCTTGCCAGAAGCCGGATCGGCCTTGAAGACAACACTGACAGTGTAGCGTTCCTCGCCAGGGTTGAGGCAGCAGATATCGTTGGACAGCTTAGGGGGTAGCATGTTGACAGTGCGGTTCATGAGGTACACGGCAGTTCCGCGCTTCTTGGCCTCACGGTCGACAAGTGAGTTGGCCTTGATAAAATGGGCAATGTCGGTCACGTGGACACCAATCTCGACGCGGCCGTCGTCGAGGTACTTGAAGTGAATGGCATCATCGAGCTCCTTGCTGCCATTGGGGTCGATGGTGAATGTCTCCTCACCCCTGAAGTCGCGGCGGTTCTTCAAGGCCTCTTCGCCGTCATTGGCAACCGACCAGTCCTCGAAGCCAACGTTCTTGATAACGGCGTCAGAGAAGTCATCTGGGCCGAAGTTGTTGTCGCGCAGGAGCGCATCGGTTTCCACCTTAAGGTCACCCATGACACCAAGCTGCTCAACAAGGGTACCAAAGGGATGCAGCGACGTAATGGGCCATCGCTTGATGCATGCCACAAAAATGCGGTCGGCGTATTCCTGGTGTTTCTCGACAAAGTCCCGTGGTGCTTGTTCGGTGGGGATAGCAATCAAGGGCACACGCTTGTCTGTAGGCTTGAACCAGACAATCTTGGGTTTATCCTGGCGCTCTGGTTGAGTTCGGCCAGTGTTGCCTTCGCGAGCTTGGCGCTCGGCTTCCTGCTTCTCCTTTGTAGCTTGGCTGCTAGGACGGAGGAGTCCGAGAGAACTGTTATATAAGTCAGTAAGAGTATGAATGTGCGTGAACCGTGACTGCTTACCCAGAGAACATTTGTCCTGCGACACGCTCGATGACGGCAACAATGTGACCTGCGTACAGAGGCTTGAGCTCATCGTTGATTTCCTCCTCCTCCATGAGGAGTAAGCTTTGTCCCTCGACTTCAACATCGTCATTCTTCTTCTGTGTTGGTCGCTGGCGAAGACTGCCACGTCGACGGATACCACCCTCAGAGCCAGTTTCAGGTTGCGTGGTGGCATCGTTAACGGCAATACTAGCACCGCGAGGGTCAGCGTTGTCCTTGCGCTTCTTCTTCTCTTCTTTTTCACGTTTCTGTCCCCACACTTCGTCAACGTCAAGAAGTTCAACAGCAACGAGATCTCCTTCGAGAGCTCGGTTCCTGTCTTTACTACCACAGATGAAAATGTCAGCATCCAGGTCAGTAGTCGTCACATAGGCATCGCTGCGGTTCTTCTTGTTGACGCGGAGGATACCGGCAACGAGTTGGCCGTCGCCGAGAAGGGCAGGCAGGGTTGCCTGTGGAAGGTAAGGAGTGAATAGTGTCTTGCGTTGCTGCTGATGTTGTTGTTGCATGTTCATCTGCGGAGCATGCTGGCTACCGCCGAGGCCACCTTGCATCTGAGCAGCCTGAAGGGCTTGCAAGTGAGCGATCTGCATAGGGTTCAGTGGCTGACCGAACATCTGCTGTTGCAGCAGGAGCTGGGCCTGAGGTGACTGCATTTGCATCTGTGGCTGGCCAGCATACTGGAAGTTGCCAAGACCACCAAGGGACTGGTTGACCGACCCACGACTGCGGTGACCGGGTTGGAAAGGAGCGGCATTGGCGGTTTGGTTCATGTTGAAGTTGCCCATGTTCTGCGACTGGTTGTCTTGAGTAGACTGCTGCTGATTGTTATTCTGGGGCTGTCTCCAGTTGCCCTCAAAGTTGCGTGATTGGCTGCGGCCATGGCCCTGACTGCCACGGCGTTGGAACTCGCCCTGCTGAGTAGCCTGGTTGGTAGGGTTCTCACTTGTGGCTGGGAACGAGAAAGATGGTCCACCTCGACCGGCACCTCCACCACCACGTCCGACAGCCATGCTCTGGCTACGGCCGTGGGCGCCTCGTCCACCTCGGCCTGAAGGGGTGTCGTTGGCGGCACCAGGTGCGCCAGGGCTTGCATCACGGTTGGAGCTGCCCTCAGTTGAGCCTGGGATGGGAAACTGGAAGCCCGAGGTCTTCCGCTTCGACTCGGCTTGCTCAGCAGCCTTCTTGGCGTCTGCGAGAGCGAGTGAGTGACGACGGGTGTGACCAGAGCCACCAGCACCGCCACCGCCGCGGCCACGAGGGTTTACATTCTCTCTACCTTGGCCACCTTGCTGTGCACCAAATTCGCCAAATCCAGAGGCTCCGGAAGAGGGTGCGGGTGGAGGACCCAGACCAACGTTGGGTAGGGCGGACTGGTTGCGGCGGTGGGCGGAGGGCTGGGCGGGAGCGTTCATTGGGACAGCGAGATGCTGTTGTTGCTGGGGCATCTGCTGGGCAAATTGGTAGTTGTTGACTTGGGGAGAGACGCTGGGCATTTGGCCCTGCATCTGAAAGTTGCCCAGCTGCTGCTGCGGCTGAATCATACCCATGTTGACATATTGCTGGTGTGTTGCGGCGATCTGCTGCTGTTGCTGCTGGAGGACTTCAATCTGCTGTGCAATGGCTAGTTGTTCCACTGTGTCATGCGTGTCAGCAGCTGCTAAGCTTACCAGACGTGAGAATGGGCGTCGAGGAGTTGGGCAAACGTACTCATCAGTGGCGTCAGCTCTGAGGGACTGCGGCGATGCGCAATATGCAGACGGCGGCCGGCGGGACCCATGGGGCCCTGCTGGCCTTGTTGTTGATCCATATCGGATATGGGTGTGTAGTGTTTTCTGTGCCCGGGTGCAGAGCGTGTGTACTAGTCGTGGAGTGATGGACGGACACGGAATGGCCAAAAAAGAAGCTTGTGTAGCCTAGTGGGTGTGAGCGAGGGCGGCCCAATGGATGGGTCCAGCGAGCGAGAGGGTACAAGAAAGGCAGGGGATGGGGGTGAAGGAGGCAGATGGGCGGTCGGGGTGGAGGAATGGAGCTGGTTGACGCAGGGCCGGCAGGTGGCATGCTTCAGAAGGAGCTAGCGGGGAGGGGACAAACTCACGTAAGAGCAAGCGTGCTTGTCAGGCGGTGCTTTGGGGAGCGAAGAGGATACTTTTTCTAGACAATGGGTCGGGTGGGAGGCGTGCAGGTGGCGAGGGCGGATGTCGTGTGTGGACAGATGGATGGATATCAAGGTGACCGGGGGGAGGGCGTGATAAGGAGGGTCGAGCTGGTCAAGGAGCGCGGGTTCCCTGGAGCGGGTTGCTGTGGGCAGTGCCAACACGAAAGAACGGGGCGGAGAGAGTGCTTCGAAGGAGGGAGCGATCGAGGAGAGAGGATGAGGGGAAAGAGGGGGGCACAGAGGGCTGCGGGAGGAAAAGGGCAGAGAGAGGGCGGCCAGCAGCGTCGACGGGCGATGAAGGTGGTGATGGGCTATGGCGGGACTTGGCCTGATGGTCGGATTGGGAAGCGATCGGCACGTGCTTGTCCGCCGCAAACCAGGCCTGCGCTCACGTACGTCACTCCGGGGGGCGGCGACGGGATGGGACGAGATGGGGGATGGGGATGGGATGGGATGGGATGAAAACAAAATGGGCCAAATGCACAGCACCCGCACCAAGCACCGGGGATCGAGGGAGACGAGCGAGGGAGGGTCAGCGCCGGGCTATGAGGGGGGACTGAGGCAGTCCTGCAGGCGTCGACGCTCTATATACGAGATGCTGCGTACCACGTCCACGCCTCGCCCTCGCCCTCGCCCACACGTACGCCTGCTGCGCGTTCCAGTCTCAGTGCGCGCCGGGTGAAGCACCATGTTTTGGTCTACACGTTTCACGCCTGGACAGTCCCGCACCGTTTCTGATATTCATCACAACAGCTAGGCCGCAGACGGCGGCACGCCCGCCACCGCCTGTGCGGAAACACGAGTCTGGCTGCTACACTGAGCAAGGAGAGATTGGCGTCCTCGCCTAGCTATGTAAATACGCCCATCTGCGTCGGATCACGGTGGGCCATGGAGGGCGCCGAGCAACAAACTGTCACATCAGCCATCGTTTGTCAGTGAAACGAGCGCCTTCAGGGTGCACCGAGCCCCGGTCCCACCAGCTTGCGGCGGCTCACGCTCTCCACTCGACGCGTCTGGTGAAGTTTATGAAATTCCGACACACTTGTTTGTCCACGGCACGACTCATGGAAGTATCCCTGGGCCCCCCTTCTCATCTCACTCGTCGCTCGATGATAGCGACAGACGAACACGATCGAGCTGTCCGACGTGATCGAGGTGGCACCCACTCGACCGCCCCAGCCAACACCAGCCTAGCGGCAGAACATGCACGGATACGTACTACCTACATAGTACTTGTACCCAAGCAGCAGAGCGCTGGGGTCGGCAACAAACTCAAATATGGGTGCCCATGTACCTGCATGCCAATGCATCGACCACTGTATACGCCAATACACATGTATATAAGTAAATAAACAAATAAATAAAACACCCCAAGACATGGCTCGCGGCGGCCAGGCGTTGCTGCTGCCCACGGCGGCACCACAGAACAGACAACGAACGTGTCGCCAACGCGGTGACAGCTGCGACAGGGATGTGCGGAGAGATATGCGCGCTCACGTGACCCCAGTGCTGAAGTGTACAGCCAAACTACTAGCGTCCAACCGACCGCTTTCACCTCTTTTCACCAACCACCCTTTCCCCAATCGCCCTGCCCTGCCCGACCCCTCCTCCACGCCGCCACAATGCCCGCCAGATCGGGTACATCGTCTTCCAGCATGCACACTGCGACTTCGTTTGGTTCGAGTTTCCTGGATGCTTCTCCGACACGCCTATCGCCGAACCGAAGCAGCCTGCGCCCTCACCGCGAGTCCCTGAATCGCGACCCCTACGAAAGTCCGAATCGGAAACTTGCCCTCGAGTTCAACCTCCGACTTAGTATCTCGGACAGCCAATTCAATGAAAAGCTCGACCAAGATGCAGCCGAGCGGGCCAAGCGACACGCCGAACAACTGGCCTACGCGGCCGAGGAACACGAGCGCGTTTTTCGCTCCGCAAAGCTAGAGATTGAGCGACTGGCCTTGGAAGAGGAACAGGCTCGTCTCCGCCACGAGGAAAACCAGCGGAGGGAGATTGAGCGCCTGCGCGAGCAAAAGGCTCGCGAGGAGGAGCAGGCCCACCGGAGAGCTCTCGAAGCAAAGCAGCGTGAAGAGGAAGCCGCCCGCCAGGCTGCCGAGCACCAAAAGAAGCTTCAGGAGGCAGATGCAAGGATCAGGGCTCAGAGGGAGCAAGAGGCTGCAGCTGAACGGCAGCAAAAAGAAAAGGCAGAGGTCGATCGAAAAGCTGCCGAGGCCGCTGCTGCTGCTGAGAAAGCTCGCCAGCAAGCTCCACAACAACCAGCACCACAGCCCACCGCCGCCGCCGCCGCGCCTGCCCAAGTAGCTGCGCCCAAGCCAGCGACCAGTGCCCCAGCGCCAACCAGCAATTTTGAGCAATTGCACAACCAATACCTCCAACTCCACCAGCGCATGAAGGAGTTCCGCAAGGCATTCTGGGAGGAACACAAAAAACCATCCTCGCCCCTCAAGGGTCCAGTCGGTGACGCTCGGCGCGCCCTCCGCACTCGACTTGGTCAGATCAACGTTGAGCGCAAAGACAGCGCCGCCGCCATCAAACGGCTCCGAACAGAGTGCTTTGACGTCGCCTTGGCAACACCAGGGCCCATGATTGATATCCGCCCATATATCGTTTCGCATCAGATCCCGCAACTAGCCAACCAAAACGACGCCGCATACCCTGCTTTCCTGCTTTACGTTTGGATTTGTTTTGAAAAGTTCCTTGTCAAACAATTCGAAAAGGAAGCGGCAAACACAGACGGCCGTATCATCCAAGAGATTGGCTTAATTGCAGCCAGTCTGTTTGGTGATCAAAAGTACATGTGGAACGGCCTTCCACTTACTGATATCGCCCTAGCCAAGTTCCACAAGGCCTGTCCACCTCTATTCGGTATTCGTGGCACCATGGATACAAAGGAAGGCCGGTTACGATTAGGATGGAGGCCAGACTCTACCCCAGAATCATACTCTCAGCGTATGCGCGGTATCGGCGCCGGTTATGCGTCCATGTCTCTCCGCTCATTTGCATCAAAGACCCCTGCGATAGCCACATCAGAGTACTGGAGAGCGATTGTTTCAATCTGCAATACTCCACCCGACCAGCTCTGGCCTGGCCATTTCGCCATTCTCAGCGGCCTGATTCGCGATTACTACAAAAAATTCATCCAGTTCTACGGTGTCCCTGCTCGCGCTGTGCTACGTCGCGCTGTCATCGACCTTCCAGCCCGTGCGCCTCCGCGTTGCAAAGACGCCGCTAGCACCATTGCTGTACTACACGAAAACTGGAAGAGAGAGAACCTTTCCTTGGAGTAGAGCCAGGTTTTTTTTACACATTACGGAGAAAAAAAAAGGATTGGTTTGGGGAGATTTTTTGATTCCGGATTTGGCATGCGTGCCTCTTTTGGGTGGGGGCCTTTTGGTTCAAATTATGCATTGGGACCGGCGCTTTATTCATACATCAGCCGTGAAGGAGCTGTTGTATCTTGCTTTCTTGTTTCTTATGTTTTCCATTGAGATTTATACAATGAAACGAGGGTTTTCTTTTTGCGCTGCAAGAGGGCATTACATAGCGTAGCCTACGCGGCCATACACTTTATTAAGTATGGATAACTTGAAATGAATATTTTTGCAAACATTTGTACTCTCCCCTTGAGTTCTTGACGAGTTATTTATTATTTCGTTTCGTGTGTTCAAGGAAGAATATAATGTATGCTATCATTTTTAGAAGATCCAGAAACCTACGAACAAGGGCAAAGAGAAAAAATGAACCCTCCAAAAATGGACCGGTAAAACAAACAAACGTCCCGTTAGAGCTCAAGCCACCAGATTGCCAGGGACAGAAACGACATCCTAAATACCCCCTTCCCCCCACATCCCTTCAATCTTTCTTCCACGCCCAGCAAAAAATCAGTAACCCCATGGTCCTTACCCTTTTTTCGTCTTGTCCGTTGAACTCTGTATCTAGCCTTCCCGCTCACTCCTCATGGCCCAATGAATATGCATTCATTACGCCGTCTGGTTGTATAAACGAACAATACCAATGACGGGTTTTAGGATTGATGTGAAGGATTTGCCTGCATAGAGTAAGGAAGTTTGGAGGGTATTCGATAAACGACATGAGGTTTGGGCTGCAGAATTTGCATTGGTTCTGCCTTGCTGTGATTGTTCAAAGTGAATAGGCTGGTTCTTTCTTTAGCATGTATGTACATGTCCGGTGTTGCGTACATGTTGGTTACATAACTTTCATGTGGCTTAATAAATTAGTGAATTTCAATAATCCGTACATACGTCCAAAGGGATCAGGAAATATCCTCGCTTTCATACGGTTTTTAGAATTTCTTGCATACCAAGTACATATCGCATGTACAGCTTTTTGGAGGTTTAGTTTTTAGTTGAAACCATGACGGAATATTCCGTCAAATGATGCTTTGACTAGGCAAGCTTCTTAGGAATATGCAACATGAGGTAGGATGTACGCACAAGCCTCCTAGCAAGCCTCTCATTTGTTGACAGTTGTATGCGGCTTTTGCCGTTCTTGCACAGACGACTCTGACTTGGACTTGTGGCGCAGCTGTTTTTCGCGAACCCAGAAATAGCATAGCAACGTTAGCGAGGGCGCTAGCAGACAGGCAAAGATTTGGGGTCCAAACTGTGCATGACCCTTCCCCGTTATCGGACGACCCACATCACCACTTCAACACCACGCCTGCTGGTTAGTGGGTGACATTCTTTGCTCTCACAAGTCGCCACGCCGCATCTGATGAGTTGTCTCATTCCTACAAGCCTCTGGTCGGCAATTCTTGGTCTTCCATTGGCCCCGCAACCCCTCTCCTGCAAGTAACTGTACCATCTTAACAGCGTGGCGCCGCAGCGGGAGCCTCCCCTCCTCGCATCATGGCTTTGTGGCTTGCCGCAAAATACTCAGAAGCAGGCCTCCATCTCTTGCAAATTTGCGCACATTCCTCTCCACTCCCTACTTTTGGCTTGGTCTAGGCAGACTTGCAGAAGCAACAAAGACGAGGGTCCAGCAGCGTTCAGCCTTGTGCCCGCCGAATCGTCGTTTGTTTCCGCTCATTTCTCCTAGCGCTGGTCGCCGTACTATTGGCCTAACTTCCGAAACCAACATCCTACAACACACCTTAGTTTAAGCCGCATGTTTATGTGAACATATCCAATCGTTCTCATGTCGTAGAGGTTTTTGGGGGTCGTTTGGCAGTTTTGGTCAGCGCAAAGTGACGTGTTGGGCAAGTGCTGGCGACATCAGCCGTCTAATGTTGGCAGTTCCACCAGCTGAGCTCATTCTCTCAGCTGCACGTGTGAATGCAGTAAGGCCGCAAACCTTTTTTGTCCGCACGTGTGAGGAGACCCCAAGTCCACTCGCAGCATGTCGGTGTGTATGGCTCGATCATGGCGCCTCCCCTTAGACGCATGTTTAGCACATCCCGTCTACCACCCTGTGCCACCGCCATTTGCTCCGCAATCCTTTCTCACCATCTCCCTACTTGACTGGGTGTAGTCATAGCTTTGACGGCCCTTCTTCACGTCCTATCATTCGCTAGGCATCTTCGTTTCATTCCTCTACCGAAGGGCGCAGTGACCTTTTTCAAGATGGAGGGCCTAGTTTTCCCCACACGTGCTTGAGGCTGAGCATCTTGTTTCTTCTGTGACGAACGAGAACACGTAGTGGACGCCTTTTCGCCGATTCGGCGCCATTGGTCTTGAGATCTGAACGCGTCTATGCACAATATGTTTCATTTAACGGGCAGATATATGTCTGCCTGGTGCCCGGTAGCTGGGTTCAGGCCAGTTAAAGTTTCTCGACTATCAAGACTACACTGCCGCTACTCTTAGTTGAGACTATTGGAGCATAAACTACCGTCGTATATCTCTTACTCTATACCCTCCTCCCACAAGCCACTAGTCCATCCCAGTGACCTCGACTACAACTCAACCCCTCCTCACTGAACACACCTGTTCCAAACTATCTCTCACCACCATGGCTCCCACCCCAGCAGATACAACCCCCGAAGCCCTCTCCCCCACGCCCACCGGCTCCCTAAAATCCAAGCCCACAACAACCTACTGGACAAAAGCAAATATAATCTCCACCACAATCTTCATCATTATCTGCGTCCTTCTCCTCGCTGGCGCCCTATCCCTCTTCCTCTACCGGCGCCATCAGACCAAAAAGCTCGCGACACAGAAACCCGACGCCGCGGCCCTCCTCGCCCCAAACAAAGACAAGGAAAACATGTTCAGCCGCGACCGCGCCAGCAGCGTAACGCTCTACGTCGATTCCGATGCCGACGACCGCAGAAAGCGCGCAAGCACCGATACCATGCATCTTGTCCCCCTGCACATTACGCCGATGGAGGAGCACCAGGATCCGCTTGCCGCCGGGCTTGCGACGGGTCCCGGGCGTGCTGTGACGACGGATCGTGCCGTCAGTGTAGGAAGCAGTGTTAGCGCAACTAGTAGTAGCGGGTCGCAGGGTTCGGTGCTGTTGAGTCCCGTCGATGGCGAGGCCGGAGTGAGGAGCGTGGGACGCCCGCGGAGTACGAGTACGGCGTCGACGCGGTCGAGGTATTATGAGAGGGTTGATGGGGGGGAGATGCCTCAAGTGCCCAGGATTGTGCATACGGCTGTTTAGGGGGAGCAGAGTGGGGGGATTGGTGGAGGGAGAGGGGCTGTCAGGGAGTTTTTTTTTCTTTCTTTCTTCTTTTTCTTTTGGATGCTTGAGGGTTGTTTTTTCATGGGTTGGTGTGCTATCGATATACCCTTTCTTCTTTTCTTGTTGTTCTCTTATACAAAATTTCATGGCCGGGGGCTGTTCGGTTCGTGATGAATGTTTCTCTAGACTAGAAAAAATATAGTCTTAGTCTTTATCTTGGCTAAACGATTCATCATGAGCAATTCCATCTTCAGATTCAAAAAACGCTTCTGTTGTGTATTCGACCCAGTGTACCTAGTCCTGCTTTCGCAGTGTAACCATGTACGTGTGTTTCCATCGCCACCAGCCCAGTGACTTGTTTCGGCCCCCAAAGTACACGTTTGATTTCGTCATGTATTTGGGACTCTACAAAACTCCAATAGAACCTCTCTCTGACTACTCGCTCCCACGTAAGCACTAAAAAGTATGCTCTGCAGCATTACCATTGCTATATTTGGATCTTTTACCTCCGATAGGCAACGATTGGATGCGTGCGTGGCAATCTCTATTTGCATCTACAGACGTACAAGTACGCGTACTCCATACTTTCTCTGCTTGAACCATCTTAGCAAAGAAAGAGTAATACGTCACATTTAGATGAAAAGAAAACAAAGGAGTTACGTGTGCATAGATAGCTGGTATTTCACCGCAATCATCATACTATTCATCTAATTATACACTCTTGCATGAGCCACCTTTCCACTCACGTCTTTCCCGCTTTTGGGCATCGCTACCAAGACAAAAGATCTACCGTGACGCCCATCGCTTTGCTTCAATGATACATTTGTCGAAAACGCGCATTAATTCCGCAACGTACGAAAAAAAAACAAATCACTCTCACTTCTTCCCTGCGGCCCCCACGCTCTCCTCACTAAGCTCCCACTGTGGATCCCAATGCACATACTGCGCCATAGTAACACTCAACAGCCACTCCGTCTTGACAATGCGAGGAATCATGTCGTGTTTCTTGGCCAACTCCCTAAATTTGTTCCAATTTGTGAATTCTCTCTTGTCAGCGTCGGAAATCAGATATAGCACATCGCCCTCATCCTCAACCTGGTTCTGACTAACTTCTTTATCCGAGGTATTAAGAATGCGTTTGGAAGCCGAGACAGTAGTTGGCCGACCTTTCCAAAGCGAACATTTACCGCCGTTGACTTCAATGATATCTTTGTAGGTATCGAACCCACCCGCAACTTTTTCGGTGCAGAAAATGGTCCAGTCTTTGAGGAGGCGGTGCCGGTTTTGCTTTGCGCGGTCGAGGGCTTCCGAGAGTTTGAAGTTGTTTACTTTTTCGAAATCCTTGTCTTGGAGAAGGTGCTTGTTGACTGGGGGAAGCTTGTTGTGCTTGAGGGCGTAGTCGAGATAGCTGGTTGAGACGAGAGTGGGTGCACAGGCGAGTGAGGCGATGAACTTTTTTGTTCGGACGGGATGCGGGGCGCAAACGAGGTCTACTTTTTTGAAGTCGTCGGTGATGAAGAGGCCCAGTTCGCGTAGACGTGCCTTGTCTTTGGATTCTTTGTCTGGATTGTTGGTCCATCTTTCATCTTTGGAGATCAACATGCGGAACTTGATTGGAGTAAGCTTCTCTTTCTTTGCTCGTTTATTCTTCGCTGGGACATCTGTAGTTTCTTCTTCTGTCTCCTCATCGTCTTCGTCGTCTTCGTCAACTTTGTCAAAAGATCGTTTACTCGACACTGAATCACGACCGCTTTTTGTTTGTCTTGCTCGTTCTTCGGTCTCATCTTCTGCTCGTCGACGTCCGCCATGTATGACGCCGCCCTTGCGCTTCATTTCTTTTTCGAATTGGGCAATATCCGGGGCAGCATCGTGTAGCTTTGACAGTGCTCGATCCTTGGCACCACGGCTGCCTGGTGTGTGGTTTTCCTTTCCATCTGTTTGTCGTGCAGATGCTGGGGTTTGCACACTACCTCCTGATTTGGCACGCTTAGCCTTCTCAGCCGCAGGCGGGCTGCGTGCTGGAGGCTCGCTCACTCTTGGTGCAACGTTGGATGTCGGGGCATTGTTGACTTGAGGTGCTGCCTTTGCAGCCTTGGTAGACTTTGTTTGCTTGGAGAAGAATATCTTCTCAGTAGCCTCACGGTCTATCTCAGTCTGGCCCAAGACCTCTCCAAGATTCGTCCGCGCCGGAAAGTAAGTGTAGCGATTGTCCGTCAGTGGCATCTCTCGGCATTTGGCGTAGCTGTCTTCCAGCCAAAGATGGTTGACAATGTTCACACCCCACTCTGTTGCTGCTTCACATTTTTCACTGTTCCTATGTGCAGCAATAAGATGTGTGTTGTCCTGTTTGAACGTCTTTGTGAATTCTGCACCTGTCGCCTTGATCAAGTTTTCTAGGTAAACGCGTGCTTCGCCCGTATAACTCGAAATGCTAATCTTGTACTTGTCGAAGCCTGGAATGCCTTGACGCGGCCGTGGATAGTGCATCATTCGCTGCATTGGATTTGTCCAGATACCGTGAGTGATGAGATAGTATAGCCAGCCGAGGTTGCCGACATCTTTCCGTGCTTGCGAAGCCTTGACATAGTCGGTACCATCCCGGTAGTTGCACACGTACATGTCCGCCTCGTCTATCTTGGAAGTCACACTACCGCCGCCAGCCTTGATCATGCCTGTTATGATACCCCTGAGCTTAGTGCTGATATCTAGGTCTTCTCCGAGCTTGACGCTTTTCCCTTCAAAGGCTTTGATAGCACGCGGGGGTTCGAGATGAGGTGGCGGTGGTACAGGTTCATTCTGGGGGTCTGGCGTGGTGGCATCTCGAATCTGCTGGCTTGTTCGTGTCGGAGGTATGGCGCCTGGTTCGACGTCGGCGAGGATCTCGGGATTTGGTAGCGTGTAGGGGCGTTCTGATATTCTCCGCCCAACCTTTAGACAGTCATCGAACCTGGTAATGTCAGCGATAGCCGTACTCTGTGCCCACAATGCAAATCTTACCAGTGGGGTAGCACAATCGTGAGCTGCAGGCGCTTGCTAATCGCCAACTGGCACCGTGGCTCGCTGATATCCAGCGCAATAAGATGCGTCACCCATTTGGACAAGCTGGGTGCAATTTGCCCGCCCATTGCCAGCACGCCACCTTCGATAGCCTCTTTGTCTCCGCTGGGTATATCCCCGCAACATATGACTACGTCGTTCATGAAGAGGGCTGGGTCTGGGCTGTAGGTCCGCGGGTTCTTGGTCTTCATGGCCTGGAGGGACGCGTCTACCCATGCAGGTCGGATGACATGTATCATGAGATCGAGGGCACGGTAGTAGTCTGGGAAGTCGGCCGTCTCTGAAACGATGTAGTTGATTTCTTGGAGTTTGTCTATGCGGCCCTTGGGGGCTTCAAAGGGCACGATCGTCCCCTGTGCGCCAGTAATGGCATGTTCAATCTGCGCCGTCTATTAACACTGTTGTATCAAACTAAAGTCACGACGCGTCCCATACCTCTTGTATACGGTCTTCAGATAGGCCATTGGGACATATGGTGAAACTGAGCTCTGAAAATAATCCTGGAGAGCCGTCTTGCATAGTTGTGTCCTCCATGGCGGCGATTGATTGTGATATGACGTTGTGTGAAGAATGCAGCACTGCCAATATTCTCCCACCAGGCGCGACTGGCGGCGCGTATCGATGCAGCGCGAACGCGACATGTGTCACGTGCGACCCCACCCAAACACTTCTATGCCGATTCCGTCACATGTATGGGATGACCAGGTATGTGGGGGCATGAATATCCCTTTTCATACTGACTGCTCTTGGAGTTACTGCTCAAAGAGTCTAGAGAGATTCTGGACTAGCTGATTAGACCATAAAGTCTACTGTTTTACTCGTGCAGTACTGAATCGCCACGTCCAGAATGGACCTCGGCAGTCTTCCCCAGATTATGCCGGCAACTCGTCACGACACCTGGAGCATCAACCCACGCTTGCTTTTGTCTTCTTCTCGGCATTCAAAACAACCACCTATCCACCCTGATCGCGCTCATATTCGCTCCCTCTACAAATAACCTCTTTTCCACATCATTGTCCTCAGGAGCAGACCACGTTTGCGCCCGGATAACCCCTTATCTAATCATGTCTTCAACCTACTTCCGGATAGACGAACACAAGGTACCAGCTTCGCATATCCGTGGATTTCCCCGATCAACGGCAACAAAACAAGAGGAAGTACTACATTTGGCCGTCAAGCAATACACGCCGCTCAGCAACAAGAGCCCCAAGCCCGGTGACATTACCATCATCGCCGCGCATGCAAATGGCTTTCCAAAAGAACTGTACGAGCCGCTGTGGGATGAGCTGCTCAAGCGGTGCGAGCAGCACGGCTTTGGTATCCGCGGAATCTGGATAGCAGACGTTGTGCACCAAGGCTGGAGTGGTGTGATGAACGAGAGTAAACTGGGCAATGACCGTATGCAAACCTACATGACTGTGCAAAGCAAAAAGCTAATTCTGAATAGCGGCATGGCTGGACCACAGCAGAGATCTGCTCCACATGGTCAACCTCTTCCGCGACCAAATGCCCCGTCCCATTGTTGGCGTGGGCCACAGCATGGGCGGCTGCCAGCTCGCAAACCTTGCTCTTCTCCACCCCAGGCTCTTTGAGACACTTGTTCTCATTGACCCGGTCATCCAAGGAAAAGTCTCTCTCAACGGCAACATTTCACCCGCAGCCGCCTCAGCAAGGCGCCGAGAGCTCTGGCCATCACGGGAAGACGCAGCAAAGAGTTTCGCAAAGAGCAAATTCTACCAAGCCTGGGATCCGCGTGTGCTGGATCGCTGGGTGCAGAATGGACTAAGAGACGTACCGACAGAACTGTTTCCCGGCGCAAAGAAGCCTGAAGTTACCCTCACAACAACCAAGCATCAAGAAGTCCTGACGTTTCTCCGCGCAAACTTCACCGCAAGACCAGGAGATAAGGAGCCCTCATCTGCAGATTTCACCCTCAGCAACCGAAAGCTGAACAGAAGAACACACGCAGACATGACGCCGTATGAGGAGCCCCAAACACCCTTTTACCGCGGCGAAAGCACAATCGTTTTCAACCAGCTACCATCCCTTCGCCCATCCTGCTTCTACATCTTTGGCGAACTCTCTTTTCTAACTGACGACGCCGTCATCGAGGAGAAGATGCAGATGACGGGATCAGGCGTCAACGGCAGCGGAGGCCGTGCAGAGGGCCTTGTAGACAACGTCACGGTCAAAGGGGCCGGACATTTGATTCCCATGGAAAAGGTCGAAGAGAGCGCGGACCACATTAGCAAATGGGTAGGCAAGGAAATGAAGAGGTACTGGGATTGGGAGCGTAAGACGGAGGAAGAATGGGAGGGCAAGCAGGGTATCGAGAGGAGTGTATTGCCCAAGCGGTTTGTCGAGGAATTGGACGCGCTCATCAAGCCAAGAGAGAAGAAGACATCCAAGTTGTGATCTATCCGTATGTGAATCTGAAATACAAATCGTTACTGCACCACTTTTTTTCGCTTTCCCCCCAAAAGCTCACTCCTTCTTACTCTCCCCCCTCTCCGGATAATACCCCCCAGCAAACTCTAAACTTGCCCCTTCCCACCTCTCCCTCTTGACCTCTTTCCAGCCACTCCACGGCCACCACCCCAGCCGCTCCGAAATCCTTACCTCAATCATCGCCAAAAAGCTCTCCCTACAAAAATTCGCGCGGTGCCCATCCGGAAACGGACTCGCGAGACCAAACCAACCCGGCTCCTTGGGCGCATGCGCCTTCAACTCCAACTTGTGCGTGTAATTACTGACTGAAATAGAAAAAGACCGGTCCTCCCAATCATTCGCCACGCTCATGAACGGCGAGAAGAGATTCAAATACGCGACTGAAAATGGGGGCACGAAATCTAGATTCAAGTCTGGGGAGCGGTAGCCGAGTAGGAAGGCAGTGTTGTATAGGATCTCGCCGCCCGCAAGACAGACACCGCGTTTCGCGTCGTTGTCCCAGGCCTGCACCCACATGTGTGCGTCTGGGAAGCTATCGGCCCAATTTTTTTCTTGGTGGATGGTCGCGCTGGTGTGTGTGTCTGCGGCGGGAAAATCTGTGCCGAGTGCGGGGATGGAGAGGGAGAGGGTGGTGGGGGAGCAGAGGGAATGGACGTGCCAGTGCAGTGGAAATGGGAGGTGGACCATCCAGCCTTCTGGCGTGCTTTTGTCTGATCGCCAGGCGGTGTGATCTGTGCATTGGGCTTTGAGGGTCCAGCTGCCGTCTTCGGCGGAGAAGTTGTAGCTTGTGAGGCCGTTGCTGGTGGTGGTCATGGTGCCCATGCCTGGGACTTGGAGCTCGAATGATTTGCCTTTGGGGTCGGCGATTACGCGCTTGATTTCTGGGATGAAGTGCTCACGCTGAAAAATGGGGTGTCCGGTTGATGGGTAGTAAGTGAAGGAGACCATGTGTGGGCGTGAGGGCGCATTGGGTACTGAGCAGATGATTAAAGCGATGTGAGAGCCGGATTCAAGGTCGAACTTGGAGTAGTAGCCTTCGAACTGCGAGGACGGGTGCGGGGCGAAATGCTCCATGGTGGTTGTTTGTTGTACCAAAGCTGACCTCCTGGTGGCGTTAAGGTTTTGATAATGTTGTGTTGGAAGTGTAACGCTCCTGAGGTGGGTCGCCATGTGGTTGAGCGACTCATGACGTAGACATTTGGCGTTACCAGCCACAACGTCGCAGTATTTCAAGAAGGCTCAATTCCCCCCAATGCACCCCCACTTTGTTGTTTCGAAAGATTCCTACATTCGAATCGACTATGAAGCTCTTGACATCTGTCTAACTCTACGTAATGTCCCATAAAGCGTGCTCATCCCGCCGCTCTTCGCCTGTAGCAGACCTTCTTTTTCCTCTGCCTGATACTTGTTTCTCTATTCACTTTCCTCAAAAACCAAAGTACTGAATCCAGAGCGGAGGTGCTGGCCACGGCGGACTTTATTGCTTGTGTAAATCGTGTTGATCACACAGCCTAGGCAGGACGGTCTGACATGTGGTCATAGTATACATGTAAGACATGGAGACTGGCTGCTAGAAATGAAAGTCTCCCAAATACGCTCAATATCTCATTTCCTACGCTTTAACTCACCCCCTTTGTCGTTCTTCCAACTTCCAGAGTAGTGATGGGTCACCAGTTGCGGCGGTAGGACCGACTTTTCCTCTGGTGTATACCTATTTGTGAGTGCCGAGAATGAATGTCCTGGTAATATCAAGACGTCTTCGTAGAGTCGCGGCTTCAAAATCTTATAAGTCTCGGTTATATCGAGGGTCCTATTGAGTCGCTTCGCCAAACTCCTAAAGGTACCAGTCGTTAAGCGTCGGGGACCCGTGAAATCAACCACATCTCCCATCATTTCCAGTGTGATATTTTCAACCGGAACGTTATACTCCAGAGTCTTTGCCCGTACCTCCTCAAGGATGTCATCAACAACCTGCATCATGTGCGGTAACCGTGGCTTAGCCATAATAGTCCAGCTGCAGAACTGGCGTATATAAGGCTCGTCGTGGCCTGCGTCAAACTCCCATCCTACCACGAGTGAAGCTTTTCCCTGAAATTTAGGTGGTACCCATTCGTCCATAGGCACACCTTCGCACGAGACGTCCAAATCCGACCACACGCCACCTTGATCCCAGAGCAACAGATAGCGTAGCATGTCGGCCTTGTATATAGGAATGGGGAATGCAAGGTACGTGTTGACGATATCGGGACGAAATGCAAAGGTTTTGCGAACGTATTCATCGCCGCTCTCGTCCATCATAAAGTGTGCTCGATATTCAGGATTGCCCTTGATGCAAGAGTCGGTCCAATTCCGTGCCTCTTCAGAAAGACCCTTGGGACCCAATTTGTACCAGAGCAGTTTGGGGATTCCATTTGGGTTGCGTGGTATTATCGCGGAAACTTCGGGAATACGAACTGCGAGATGGTCCTGGACAAGGTGAAAATGGTAGATCAATCCGATCATACACAGCGCAGTCAACGTGTAGTAATTAAAAAGTTTCCTTAATTGTGGTGGTTGCGACAACATGTTGAAAAAAAACTTGAGGGAGAGACTGAGAATGAGAGAAAATTGGCCACGCAGTTGGAAAATTCCAAACTCAATTCGTGTATTAGGTGTGTCCTACCATTAAATCACCGAGAGGTAACCTTTGTTCTCGTAAGAAAATAGCCAAGCGCGGCGGAGGGTCCAGGGTATACGCAAGCCTGCCCATTGCGCACGTACTCGGGTTGAGTGGGTCGCAACTGACAATGGTGTGACAGCCTTAAATTCCCCTGACGCGACAATCAGGCTCATGGTGCGAGCTGATAAGCGTTTGGCAGATATTTAGCGAACATCATTCTCGCTAAACATAGTGTTGGCTTTGGAGTTTATCAAGCTGTCCCTACGTATGCAGAAGGCCTCGAGAACAAGCCAGAAAAGGGAGCTCACCCAGATGACAATCGAGGCGTTTCACTAGACAATACCCATTTTTGTTGTCAGCTCCTTGACCGCCGCCAGCCGATACACTTACACATAAACTTTGGCTGACATGGACGTACTTACCAGGGATGGAACATGCATTTCATGCTTACGGCTTGACTCAGGGGCCCTCATTCGTTTGTTATGTTGACCCAAGATTTCATCGGTGCTTCCTATCCACACTCGCAATGCTTCGACGCGGAAATAAACGGAAGTGCAGATAGGCGGTAAATATTGTGTATGTTGTGGTGTAGTATCACGTGACTAGCTTGTAGTATATATTACGATCTTCTTTCGTACGTAAATAGACACCTTCTTTAATCGATCCCTCACAACGATCATCTGTCAGCTTATTTCTGTCAAACTCGATTGCGGGTCGCCCCTGTGATCTTTTGAGCTCGATCACGTATCGTGCCACAATGTACAAGAATTTGACCTTGATTTGGAGAACGAAGTGTGGGGGTTGTGGGCTAGTAGTCAAGGAATGTGGGGTTGAGGTTGGGCGAGTGCTAACGAGGCTGACGCGCTAGGTGTAGTACTACTGCTTTTATGTGGTTTAGGTTGAACCCAGCCTTACGGCCCCCGAAGGCCTGAGTTTAATCTCACACTTGCATTTTACTACCGGGTCAAGTAATTGTACTGGTATTTATTGGCTTGCATGAGTCTACAGTGAATTGTTGATTCACTGGATGATTCGGAGTCTTTCAAAGAATCGGACTCATCACACTCGCGACCTCACTTTCCCTATCATAACCCAATCCTTCGCAAGTAAAGGGTGATCCATCGCAGCTTTAGACATGCTCCGTTCGATTCACGACGCTCAAGAGAAACTGCAATACCATTTTGACTTGGTTTCATCCTGGTAGTCGGTGCTATGCACGAAATGAGCAACAAGCTATGAATAATTCGATTGTGAAACATCTTACAAATACTTGCAAACGCCAAAATGAAGTTGAAAGCTTAATCCATCTGGAGAGGGACGGGAAAAGAAGCAGGCATTTGGCCCTCTCAGCTCTTCAATTGCGCAGTTGTCTTCGCTGAGTGTATACCCATCAAATGAAGTCTCATCTGAAAAAGCAGATGCGAACGTCGTGAATGTAGCGATGAGGGAAACAATGATATAGCGCATGATTGAAGTAGTAGAGTCGGTTTGAATTGGACGTGATGCTGTGACAAGGCACCAAGATGGTTTGGAATGAATGAGAGTCAGAGGAAAAAGACCACTATAAGTAGCACACAATCGTTGATACATGTGATACGGTTCGGGATAATTTATTGGAGAGTATTTTTTCTAAATATAAGCTCCAGCTTTGCGTTTCCGCCAATCGGCAGTGAACGTCACAGAAACGGGAGAGATATCAGCTTACTTTAAACCATATTGACCCGCGGTTTGTCCGCGTGCAGGCTCGAAGCGGTGTAGGTGCCTCCGCATCCAATTTTGTGGTATTAGATACTTCGAGCTTGGTCGATTAAGCCTTTCAAGTCGCTTCCTTCATTGATCTTTGGTGTAAATAATTTCAAGCATTTGCGTACGGGTGTTGGGCATCTGTGATAACGCTCTGTACCAGAGCTCGCAGTGGGTATTGCGACCGTAGAGACGATTGAATAAGGCCAGGGAAGAGTGGGTTGATAGTCATGCATGGGTTTTAACTGGAAGGGATCTTGATGCCGATTAAATAAGCATGATAGGTTGAGAAAGAAGCTTTAACAACCTGCGAACACGTGTGCTACATCGAGGATTTCGCATGAAGATGAGGCCTTAAGAAATATTTGTACATTTACATGAGATGAAATGCGTCGCGCAAATCGTTCTGTCTCGAACAGGACATGTCCTAATCGACGTTGTCTCTAACTAACTATCGGAGACGGCTTACATCAGATCAATCGACAGCGATTATATCTACGCCAAAATGGCTTACTATCATTATCTCGATGAAGATCGGTTTACCTCCATATTAATTGAATAATTTGCTAAACATTCAAATTATCCTCTCTGATGTATCTTTGTTATCTCAGGCTACAGCTGCGATACATCTATACTGCTCTCTCACTGCTCGTCAGAAACTGTAATTCCTAGCTCCGTATACCCATTCGCTGCCCTGGTATCATCGAAAGAGGATTGAGGGATATTAAGCGATACATTTAGTGGCTAGTAAATCGTCGAGTGTGACGGCGAATACAGGAACAAACGTGGTCGCAGTTGACTCAAAGGACATAAGTTTGAGACCGACGATGGTAAGGCCAATCCTCAATCGAAACTATTACAGTATTCCTTGTGTAATGAATCTGCAATAGCTGTACGCTTGGATCGAGGTTCAAGTTGCCTCTTACAAGATGAATGTCCCTAAAAGTATGCTAGAGCATTAGTTCCAAAGTCGTGTTTGGCATGTGTAAGGCCAAAAGAAACATGGGGACTAACGCGTGGTGATTACAAAATGCCAGGCCTAGTAATGCTCCATTTTCCTAAAGGAGGTTATTATTACTCAGGGAAAGCTTCATTATTACAAGTCTCCCACTATAGACGCTGCATGTCTGGTACCTGGGACCGTTGATCATGACGCGGGAGATCGCGAAGCTAGCGTACGCACTTGATCGCAACATCGTCGATATTTTGCATACACCTGGTGTCTAAGATCGTACTACTTTGTCGCTGAAAGGAGCTATTCGAGTTCAAATTTTCGACAAGGACTCGTCTAGATCAAAGATGACGTGCTGTAATGAGAAAATATGAGGTCAACAGAATTCTAGCACAAAGAGGAATTCTATAAGAGAATGAAGAGTTGGAATCAGATTGCTTAGGTGTTCATTGAGAAGGCTACCCAGGAACCAAGAAAAGCCAAGATCTTTGTTTTGAGGCTCTGGAAATAGCGATGCCAAGGACGGGAAAGCGGACGCCAACGTTTGCAGGGCGAAGGGCATGAAGTGAAGCAAGCTAGAGTGAGCACTGGACTTGGCCAGGAAGATGCTTGTATAGACGAAACGACCTTTGCAGTTTGCGATTTATAATCAAAGACTTCTTTGAATGACGATGAATTCTATCACAAGTTTTAGAAATAACAGCGTGGTAGGCAAGTGGACTGGTATGCAACCACCCTGCTGGCTAAAATTTTGGGTCGAGACGAGACTCCAGGCTGATGTCACCATGCTCATCACGGTACCATGTATCAGAGCTCTCAGATCAGAGGAGCTCCTTCCCCGCATGTCTATGATTTTGGGTCAGTCACAGACACGTGGCTTGGCTCTGAGGCACACATTGCTCTTCATGGGTCCCCAATAATTTGTTTCAACACAACGAAACTCTGATTCCTTGTCGTTTTTTGATGCCTCCGACAACAAAGCCTCAAGCTACCACTCGATCAGGATCATTTTGAGCTGGAAATGGCCCCTGATGGGCCTCTGTTGAGGAGCTCGATCATAGAGATCTACGAAACATGTGCTAGCCAAGCGAGAAAGAAGTAAATAAATCGGGGCAAGGACCCGTACGTATCCAATCATTTCTTCCTCCGCTTCAGAGGTCGCCAAGACACTCCGCTTTTATGTGTTCTTTTTCCCGAAAATGTGAAATGGGTTGACAATATCCTTGATCCCTTGGCCGTTTGCTTGCCTTGTTCATGAGCGATGTAAAAAAAGAAGCCCTACGCGCCAAGAGTCCCTGAGTTCTGACCTATTTTACTTATTCTATGCAACCAATGATGACATCTCAAACCTCAAATGCTAGTTTTGCTTCTTGTTTTCTGCTGCATTTTCCTGAGATTATAGGCCTAATAGGCACGGAAGAGCGTTTTCGGTTGTTTGAAGAATCGCGTCATAGTATCCAGCTATGAAGTGTAGAGAACATGCTTTGCTCATGCCACGATGCAGCAAAACATCATGGAATATGTGGTGATGTTGATCCGCCAACGTCACCCCGATCCCAGAGCTCAAGTGTTTGTTGAGTCTACGCTTTGGCGTATTCAATCCCTCCGGGCTAGTGGAATCATGGCGCACGTTCGATACCAACTCAGGAAATGGGATAAGAGTGAACACTATATAGATATCTCAGAGATGAGTGCAGCCTCCAAATGTCTCAGAACATCCTAACCCATTACCTTCTCATCACTTAGTTTATAATACATATACCCATTAACACATTTCACGACATATCTTTCTCTACATAATACACTTCGAAAAAACTCTTTTGTACATACCCAAAAATGTCTCAGACTTTGGTTTCCACTGCATCGGTCCAAGTTGGACTGCAACCCTTCTCACGACCTTCCTTCCCAGCGGAAAAGCACACTGTTCGGATTCCTCAGCCTTCTAGCAACGGCTTGATCAAGGCTGCGCTTAACGAGGGCATCAAAAAAGGACAGCAAATCGACGAGACGGTCGCTTCCATCATGGATATCTTAGAGACGTTCAGTCTTCAGCAGTATGGCAACGACGTTTTCATGGGAAGGAAGGTCTTCGGACCAAAAGTCCACCTGCATGTGTCTGAGCACAGGAAGCTCCCTATGGTTCTTCCAGCCTTCCCGGCCAAAAGCATTAATACACAAGACAAGGTTCTTGGCACTAGCCCTGACCTTGGAGAAGAACTTGCTTTGGACCGATTGAACGACTTGTGCACCCAAATCGGTCGCGTCTATGAGCCCGGTGCCATGGTCCTTATTGCGACTGATGGTGCTTGTTATAATGGTGAGTAAATTTCTGTGGTTCAAGAGTACTAGCTAACGAAATAAGACCTCACAGAAGTTACGGAGGATAGCCTCTGGGAGTACGGAGTTACTCTGCGCAGGATGGTGGCAGAGAAAGGCTACGACTGCATCAAGTTCGTCCGCATTATGAACCTTTTGGGATTGCACACGGACGAGCAAATCTCCAAGGAGGACTTTGTCCATCTCCTTGAGCCTTCTCGTCGCATAATGATGACCCGCTACGGCGATTCCGAGTTCGATGCGAATTGGTACATCCAGAACGACCCAGACTACAAGTCAACCTATGACGGCTACTCGAAGTTTCTGAAGAAGGACCTTGCTTTTAGTCCTTTCCGACAAAATGCGGCTAGTGGGAAGAAGTGGAAAGCTCTGGTACATAATACTGCTAAAGCAATGATTGCTCGTGGTGTGGTACGAAACAATCCCCGTATTGATCGATGTTATTCATACTAATACGAAACGCTAGGCTTTTGCAGCTTTGATACGTGAGAGATACCCCGACTATGTCCGTCTTTCCATTCATCCTTCGACTGGACTCACAAAGATTTCAATGCCGATGATACCCCAACCCGACTCCTTCTCCATGACCCCATGGCACTGCGCAGTGGCTGTGGATGTTAACGGAAAGTTCAAGACGGCACATGCGGGAGTCCTGCGGGAGACTCACGACCTGGTGTTGAAAGACGGTGTGCCGTACTGCTTCCGTGAGCGATCCCCATTGTATTCATGGGATGCGAAGGTAGAGTTCACCCATCTTTACGGCGGTGGCATGATTGTGCGAAATGTTGGGGGAAATTCCAAGGAGTCTTTATCGGATGCTGACCAGGAGAAACTCGCCAAACTGAAGAGTCTCCAAGGAAATGTGATCTTGGAAGGGTTCTAAAAGTCGTTATCAACCAGGGGTTGCTGTGTGCTGGTGAAAAGTCTTCTTATTGGTTCATTATGTATAACTACCATACTTAATAAAAGTAATTTGGAAATTTTTGAAAAATCTTTCCCATGAACATCAGCTGTGTAACAAATCTACATCTCAAACTTGACATATCCTTGACTGACTATCCATCTACCTTTTTTGCAGTATCTCCCCACCGTCGACAAGACTTGCTCCAACTTCTGAAGCCTTTAGCACACCTGCATGATAGAGCTTCGTGACTAAATTCAATAAAGTAGCATCGCATCCTTTGGCAACCATCAAGTTTATCGACACAGGTAATGGCTCCGTGTGATTTGTTGTTGTAGAATGGTAGGACATCTCACCAACTGCATCACGCTCATTAGCGAATCTGTTCAAACTAGTCGTAAGCTTCCGATCGGACCACTTACTCGGAATGGTTATATCGGGTACCTCAGCCATGACGCTAAAGTACTGGTTCGTGAACCCCGAGGGCGCTTTTGGTGGGCTTCTGTAGGTGCTTCTGTATTGAATGATTGGCGCACTAATGTAGGCAAGCACCGCTGATGTGCAGCTGCGGCGATCCTGCTTGAGCACATGGTTCTGGAACCAGTCCATGAATACAGTTTTGTTTGTGAGCGCATCAGCCAATGCCGTGGATGGTTGCGCATCCCCAAAAGCCCATCGTGCCAATGGAACTGGGTTTACAGCGGGCAGTCTTCCGTCATGCGTGGATGCGTATTTGACGTAGAACGGGTCGCGTACTAATTCCGTTTGACGTTGGCCGATGATTGTTGCGTAAACATTTCCTAACAATGACTGTATATCCACCGGTGCGGACTGGGGTCGAGACTGTTGCCAGGCGGTTGTTACGTTGAACCAGTCGGTCTTCTCGATTCCAAGAACATTCTTCATCTCATCAAGAAATCGATCGATAATCGTGGCTATCTTATTCGACAATTCGGCTGGAAACGATTCGACCAGCAATTGAGTTGGGAGAAAACCCTGAAAGCTGTTGCGGGGTAGTCCGTATATCTCCGTAGATGCATATTGGAGAAGCAACGGATCCCTTGCAATGAGCCCAGCGGTGTCTAGTTCAGGAGCAAGCGGGAGTGCAAGTTGTAAGGGCGCAGCACCATGTGACGGCCTCAACCCGTAAAGACCGTTGGATCGAGCAGGACCGCGAATGCTACCGCCTGTATCTGATCCCAATGCAAAGTCCAACCAGTCATACGATGCAACACTAGCACCGGCTCCTGCGGAAGAAAAGCTGGGATCTTGATAGCCATCTCCGCGTGGATTGAAAGGTGAGTGATAATCAACCCAATCTGAAGTCGAGTATTCTCCATTGGCAAATTGAGCAGTTTTTTGTTTGCCCACAATGATCGCGCCTGCATCTAGCAACCGCTTTACCACGGGTGCTGTTGCATTGGCTGGGGGATATAGGTTGTACCATGCTCTGTTGCCGTTGCCAGTTTTTAAGCCAGTGACGTCAAAAATGTCTTTTATACCAACACGCATGCCAGCAAGCGGGGCAGTCGGTGTACGTTTGTAGTAAAGTCTAGACGGAACAGCAATTGTAAGGCTATTCCCTGGTATATGTGCAGGAAGAACAGAATGCTTGCCAGAAGAATTGGTATACACAGACTCAGTGAAAGCTTCTTGGTGGTCAGAGTAAAGTCGGTAAGCCCGATGAATGTTGCCTTGAGACGACAGGAAGTAAGGGCCCCGAGGAATAATCTCATTCATCTTCTTTGGAGCAAATAATACAGTTTTGTTGCCCCAACTTTGCATGGAATCGGCCCCAGAATTCCCACGTCTCTCATCAGTTGCTTGAAGATAAACCACTAAGGATATATTAGTACGTTCCGAAAAATCGAAGAACATAGGTTAAGGAATTCATACGCTTGGCAAAACCTTCGCTCCATACATCATCGTTCTCCCCAAAGTGGGAGAGTTCACGCTCAAGAGAAGCATCCGAATAAGCATCAGAGCCAGAAGATACTGCGGACATGGGCATAAAACCATTTAAAGCAACCCTGTTCGATTCGAATAACAAAGTTGCTAAATTGCTTTGAAGCGACCCGATTGCATCTGGCGCGATCCAATAAGGAATGCCATTGAGATATGCGGTAGTGCCAGTAATCTGGAGAGCTTCTCCAAGTGATGAAACAGTAGCGAGTAGGGCTACCCAAAAACCTGGGGATCTGAAAGCCATAATTAACTAGGAAAGAAACTGGAGTGAAAATGGGCGTGCGATTCTTTTAGGATCAATACGTTCGATATACCAGGCAAAGCAATGCGCACTGTCAGTGCACTGCAGGAATGGGAGAGTGGGGCGACGTAAAAAGCAAGAGCTAAGTGAGAGAATTGTCATGTAAATGCGTAGATGTATTCTGATGAACACAGTACCCTTGTTTATCTAGAGAATTGCTCTTTCATAAGATTTGTATGAATACAGTCCATGTGTAATATCTCAGCTACATTCCCACTGGATTTCCACTATACGGAACTGGAGTGGATTTGTATAATAATTTGGAAGGCTATTTCTTACCCACACTTCCCTGAAGCGCATGGGGAATTGTAGAAATGCAAAGAGCCTTTCCCCAAAAGGCTTGCAACAAAAGTCATATTTAGGTACCTGTAGCGCATAGCAAAGAATATAAGAGCGAGGTAGTAGGCAGCGACAGATGCCTGAAGAAGTCATCTCACATTCTAAGCAATAACCAATACAGCCATTATGCTAAAATTACTTGGATAAAGCATCATCACCGATCCAGAACTGGCCTTTTACATCATGAAGAGATTGAGTAGTGAGCACACAATCTTATCAGGGTAATTTTAAAGTTCAACAAACCACGCTAGGAACATCCCGGCTGTAGTAGCATGTTTACTTCTTTTTGTTGAGGGGAATACGCATATGACGTCTGGCCCAGTGCGCGCACGATCTCAACGGAAAGAAAGTGAACTTTGTACATGATCGCGATAAGATCATCTCGGTGCCGTATGTTTACATCTTTGTGCTGTAGTGGCGAGCACATGGTATCCAGCACAGGGCGCAAAGTTTGGTCCAGTGTCATATCGAGTTCGGCGTTGAACTCAACTCAGTAGTGTATCGATCGCCCAAGCGTGCGGATCGTCCAAGTTTGCGTCTCTGTACCTAAAACTGCTGTTTTGTGGGGGAAATGGCCCTTGCAAGTGTTATGACATGGCTTCCAAGTTCCGTCTTTCACTGAATCGAGATATCAATCTCTTTGCATTAAAATAGCGCGAACCATTCTCTACTATATGTTTGATCCGATTTAGATCCAATCGCCTAAGTGATCGAAGTGATATTTGATATACTTGTTGAATGATCCCATCAACCAACTTCTCCTGGAATTATTCGCGTCTGATGAATTACAATGGGTACTCATTGCACGCCTAGTCACCAGAACTCGGCTAATTTACAGTGTTTAGACAACGAGACAATGGAGAAAACTTCTGCGCAAGATCGAGCACTGTCTCCCGAAGACCCAAAGCATGAGGAAATCCCAGATGGAGGCCCTTTGGCGTGGACGCAAGTCGTCATGGGCCACCTGGTCATCTTCAACTGCTGGGGATACATTACATCGTGAGTCTCCCCAAGGCTTAAACACGATTACTAATCTTACTTGATTCTAAATACGCATCCAGTTTCGGCTTTTTCCAACAATACTATGTTGAAAACCTGGGTATATCGTCAGCAGACTCTGCCTGGATAGGCGGTTTGCAGATGTTTCTGCTGAACTTCGTCGGCGTCTTCTCCGGAAGGACAGTCGACATGGGCTACTTCAGACAAACCTTACTTCTCGGGTGCACGCTGCAAGTCTTGGGTATCTTCATGACTGCTCTATCAACCAAATACTGGCAGTTGTTTCTTGCTCAAGGTCTCTGCAGCGGTCTCGGGCATGGCTTTTTGTTCGCACCAATCGTCTCTATCCTGCCGACGTACTTCAAGAAGCATAGAGCGGTTGCTGTTTCTCTGGCCACTTGTGGAGCCTCGACGGGCGGTATGGTATTCCCACTCATTGCCTACTCATGCCTCAATCGCGTGGGATTTCGATGGACCGTCCTGATTATGTCCTTTGTTGTAACCTTCAATGCTGTTATGATTCTCAGCTTTACCAGAACACGTGTTCCGGTCCGTAAACCGCGTTCAATCCTTGATACGCGGGCATTTAAGGAACTATCCTTCACGCTATTTACGATAGGATCGTTTCTTGCTCTATGGGGGTTGTATTTCGCCTACTTCTATGTGAGTCTTCGTATTTTCCTTCTACGATGCGAAAAATATCTGTCGGTAGACTAACATGGTCAGATTGGTGTCTTTGGGCGCACAATACTTAGTTTCTCCCAAACGCAATCTTTGCTGTTCATTGTCGTCATGAACGGTGTGGGATTGCTTGGCCGGGTCATTCCAGCATTTCTGGCTGATCGATACTTTGGAATACTGCGAACACTTATCCCCGCGGCTGGGATCAGTGGATTGCTGCTGTTTGGTTGGGCAGGTGTATCTTCCACTGAGGGGCTTTTTGGATGGGCTGTCGTCTACGGCATTGCAGCCAATGCTACCCAGAGTCTCTTTCCAGCAGCAACTGGAGACTTAAGTACTGATCCGACTAGAGTGGGCACCAAGGTTGGTATGGTCTTTGGAATCGTGAGTATATCGTGTCTTACAGGGCCGGTTATTGGAGCACGACTTGTTGCAATTCATGATGGGAACTTTTTATATGCTCAGTTGTTTGGAGGCGCCACGCTATTGGCGGGCTGCTTAGCCTACGTGTTAGCAGCTATAACGAAGCCGAAACCAAGGCTCAACTAGTGTTCACGACTGTAAATCTGTAAAAAAAGATGAACACCAGAAGAGGTTACATAATAATACTTCTCTAAGCTAGAATATATTAGAATAACGTTTGAGATAGACAAGTGGCTCACGATAGTAAGACAGTATTCACTTTGACTAGTATCCTGTTAAGGAGAAAATTCTCATTATCTGTAAAAGTAGGCGGTTCTTGTCTTGTCTACATACATCAAATTCAGAACGGAAACATTGTATTGTTCCCTTTATTATCGGCAGAGCTTAAATCCTTAAAAGAGAACTCCATACAACGAATAGTAATAATCCACTCTAACTTATTACCCTCTTGCCATATTTTCTTTTACTTTATATTCTAGTTAGCTTTGTCTTACCTTATCTATATACTGTTATCTTCTAGAGAACTAGGATAATGGTAAACTTACATATTGATCAATGCGAGTGTATCCATCTTGATCATAGTCAAGTTCTGAAATGGCAAGCGAATGCAGCTATCCCTGATGGTCCATTCCTCTACCCACAGGAGGAGGATGCAAGCAGAATCTATGCACCACCCGAGTTGAAATTAATACTCGGGTCTAAAGGCTGAGAATGAAGGTCTTAAGATAGGTAGATCAAGAGGTTTAGGAGATCGTTTGAAATGCAATATATGTAAAACATAAGATAAATAACACCGACCCGTGATTGCTTTGCGAACGCGGCCCGTCTTTAAGGCGCCGTCGAATAGTTTAGTTCTACAGAGCTAATCCAGCGTAAGCGCTTTATATTTTATCATTCTACGCTTGCCTCTAACTCCAGATAGGTTCTTATATACTTGAAAGGAAGGAAAAGCTTTATTTTCTGTGTAGATAAATCAAATACTACTTTCTTAAGTACGTTCTATATACGCGTTAGCTAGGTACATAAGAGTGTACCTTTAAAGAATTAAAGGCAATATCTTGCATCTACAGAAAGCTTAGTAGACTAGACATGAAGCCAAAGTAGCAGAGATTAAGGCTAAAAGGTCAAAGGGTGAGGTTAAAGTAGCGAATATGCATCTAGGCAGTTTCTCCGCGTTGGCGTCAAGATCGTCAAAACGTATCTGACTAGCCGTACATCTCAGACGATATTTGGTGGCAGTAGTGTGCTAAGATTTTATTAGAGCGGAATGCGCGCTGTGGCCGAGGCATGTGGCCTTCAGTGATCTCATCGCCTCAGGTAGCTCTTATTCCCGATCATGCAGACAGCTGTGTCTTGTTCTACTGTTGTCCTCGCTCCCTCTACACGTAGCGCCGCGAGAGGCTACAATAGCCACCTTTGTGGAGCCCATCTATCCAATGGCACCTCCTCGACCTGGCTTACACAAATGCATACTGTCTCAACGCAAGATGGGGAGATAGGGCGAAGCAAGGCGAGGGGGCGCAGGATGCTGAGAGCTTAATGAAGCCAGCACCTGCAGTCTGTTGCATGCACCCTCTTACCAAGCAATCTTCTCTGCCTTCTGTGCCTTGTCGCACCGGGACAATACGCTAATACGTGTGTGAAGTTCTCGTGGTTTGAAGCCGATATACCTCTTGCATTTTTCGAAGTAGAGGGGGTTTCAACCTTCAAGGAGGGACGTTAGGTAGGATCTTAATCATAGGTGTAGTAGGGTTGAAGCATCATTAGCAGGCTCTGTTATAAATCGATCGTCCGTAGTGAAATGCCCGTTATCGCACTTATTTAGGTAATAGATTTACCATCACATTGTGATTTTAGAGTCAAATTCAAAGCATAGATTGTGATATTGGTATTGGGAGCCATAATATATCGAAAAAATAAATCAAAAACACCAGATATATAAGCATATTAGCTATCTCTAGCTTGGAAGAAAAGAATCTCAGTTACTTACGCTTAGATATCCGGCTTGACTAATCCGCTGATAGATTGGCGCTAGCAAGAACATTTGAAATGCATCTCCGTACATGCATCTCATTAATAGCATTTTTTCAGACCAAAGTGGCTAGCGTAGCTTATGCTACAACCTATCTCTGCACCATGATTACCATCTGTTTGGCAAGTCGCGCTGCAATCTTGACCGTAACAAGCCCGGCCTAATTGGCAGTCTTAAACGCATGCTTTTTTGTTTCTTTCATAATCCGGCGCTGTACACTTGGAGTATGTTTTACAAGCTAACGCAGTAGGCAGGCAGATGGCCAGTAATGTAATGATGTAGTTTGTAAGTCTCATGGTGGGCGACTGTTGGTGGAGCTCAAAGCCGAAACCCTAATCTTAGGCGATAGCTAGAGCCAGTAATACTTCAAGGACAAGTGTGCTCAAGGAGCCATCGCTAGTGTATGTCTTAATTGCGTTTAATGCTGACTCATCTGATTTCTGTCACAGAGGGGATGTTATCTCACTAGTTAAACGCGGCTAATTATGTATGTAGCGTAGAACTTCTTAGAGCTAATCAAATCGCATTTCCTCTCGCATGAAAACCCCCTCCGGGACCGATTGTAATATGCAGCTAAAGCTGTCATGATATTTGACAGGATCTTTTACACGGTTGCGATCTATGATGACTATGATTACCTTTCTCGTATCGTTATGGAAGACTGACTCCATTATTACCAAACGCCACTTTGCGCCAATGGTGATGCTGGTTGGTATGAATCGCTCTAGGCTTTTTCTTAATCCTTCTTGGTAAACTCAAACTTCGATTTTCTATAATAAATGTGTAGCTGTACCCGAAAAGTGCCCATAGGTGAGTTGTTTGCATCACACTGTGAGTTGCCAGTGTCAAAGCTTTGTGTGCTTCTTTTTCAAAAAGTAAAAAAACCAATAAATCACGAGGCTCCTCAACATCCAACGTGACTCAAGTTCGTACTCCATGATTTACTTATTTCGGTTTTTGTTTTACACTCTGTTGTAGACGATGTTGTCGCATTGAGCCTTACCAGATGAGGCATAGCATCTTGGCTCAGTATCCTGTACTTAGGCCAGCTGCCGCTGCCCCGCCACCATGATTCTCGATTGTGCAGTACTTATTTTGACCTGCTGGCTCTCCTTGGATTATGTATTGAGCCACGACAAACGCCCAGATCCTCAAGTATCTTTGTTCTTCATAGAAAATAGCGAATAGGTTCTCCTACGCCGTCTTTCCCCTGTCTTTCAAGATTAGATTCATATATGTAAACAAACTGATTCGCCATATCCTTTCAAAATCTCCCAACCATGGCTAGTAGCGGATCTTTAAATATCGATGCAGTTCTCGCTGTTCTCCGACGCTTCTCTCAACTTGAAGGCCAGAAGCAACCGAACGAAATACATGGCTACGGAACTGTCGCTGCTTCCAAAATTGAACTCAGTTATACATCTAGAAGTCCAATCCCATTACTCTTACCCGCGGCACCATTCAAGAACTCTTCCCCATTGAAAGTTCTGGATACTAAAAACCCAGATTTTGCGGAAGAGCTGGGCTTGGCAAGACTTGATCACCTTTGTAATGAGTTGACGAAAGTGTATCGTTATGGTGCAGAGCTCACCATAGTATCTGACGGTCCTGTCTACAACGGTGAGCTGTACTCGATGGACAATGCGTGCGTGATACTAATTCTTGTTAGATCTACTGTGTATACCTGGTTCTGATTTCTATGATTACGGTGTCAAACTACGAAAGATTTCAGCAGATCAAGGATTTACGCGCATCCGATTTAGACGCCTGGCGGACGTACTCGGGATTGCTGATGGAGATTCCTTGTCCAAGGATGAATATATAGCCTTAGCTGATACATGCCGAGCCGAAATGGAAGCTAGATTTCTGCCCGATCAGTCAGAGATGAAGAAAAAGATTGAAACCCATAAAGACACAAACCTCACGTACCAAGCATACGTCAAGCTCACGGATGAGGATTTGCGATGGGGACCAGACCTTGATCCAGAAGTCAAGAATGATAAGGAGAGATATACCGAAGAGACTAAGAAGGTTGCAGTCAAGATGACTCAGCGCCTACTTGTGAGTTTGTATCCTTGCTTTCAATCTTAGTTTTGGACTCATGTTGTACCTTCTAGGCTTACGAGAGAGCCTTGGAAGCTGCCTTTCCCGATCACGTTAGACTTTCTATTCACCGATCCACGGGCGAATCCAAGATTCCGGTTCCTTTGATACCCCAACTGGATGGTTTTGGACTTCAACCTTGGCACTGTTGTGTTGTAGTAACAGCTCAGGGGCGGTACGTAACTGGTCACTTCAAGGATTACCAACACAACGACAACTATGAAGTCATTCAAAAGGATGGAAGGCCTTTTCTTGTACGGGAGAAGAATGATGATTTCAACTGGCCCGAACATATCAAGCTACATCATGTGTATGGAGGCAAAGTGATTGTGGAGAACACGCTGCTGGAAGATATGGAACTCACTACCGAGTGGAAAGTGAAACTTGCTAATCTCGCACTGAGATTCAAAACTGTGGAAGTGCGAGGATTTCAAATCTAATGTAATCCTTCAGGCTTGCTATATACTGCGAGCTGTTTATTACAGTCAGTCAAATAATGCAGCTCACTCGTGTATTGGCCACCTCGTCAGCGCCTCTTATTTTCGCGATTACGGGATCGCAACCAAATTAACGCACAGTACCAGAAGGTGTTATGATACTGCGAATGTGACCTTACTGTTGAGCTGCGCATTACTGGTATGGATACCAGAGCAATACCTTTGCCAAATCGGGCGGGCTTCGTACAAACGCTCGGGTCTTGGCGGACGGCACGCTAGAGCCACAAGCAGACGAATTATGTAAGCCGCACATGACTAACGATAGTCTGCCAAGCTAACGCGCGCCCCCAGCCACCAGCCCTCGACTTCATCATCAACATTCATCAACGGGTTCCCCCCATCGCACCTACGCACATACTCAACAAACCGAATATCCGTCTATCTCCGCTCCCACTTGTTGCGCGTATCAAGTACTCGACTTAGGCCCATTATCCTTGCGAACTTCACAAGGCCGCTGGTGGCAAAGGCGGGCGACTCTGCATCGCACTGCGCGTCCGTCGGCTGCCATTAGCGGGGTGGGCTTTCGATTGATTACGGGGGTCGCGTACCTCGTGTCGGCGGTGGATGCGATATACACAAAGTCAAGGCTGCTTCAAAGCCTGGGCGGGTGGGTTCCCTTGTCGCTTAAGGGGGTTTGGTGAGTTCAGCGGGCATCTTGGATAGCTAATAATATGAACTTTTTCAAATATGGTTTCAAGGCGCTCGCCTATCCTGTACCGAACGTCTTGGATCCTGTATCTCCGTGCCAATGTTCTCTAATCTTTAGGTGTGACGACGCGTCCAAGCAGGCGACAGTCTTGCTTGTAGTCCAAATCCCCACAACTCATGATGTACAGCTCTTCGCTCTACAGTACGATGCCGACAAGCTGCTGTCTGGTACTGTCAGTCTCACTAGTGGCAACAGCCATATTCCGCGACCACAACTGGACGAGCTCTTGCGAAACAAGGACAACAAACACTGGGACATCAAGACTCTCGCCCTGAGCGTTGATCAATCATGTCCCCTCTGGTGTCCGGCCACCATGTCTTTCAGTCCCCAACCTGGATGTGACTCTTCTTTCCGTGAGTTTGTAGAACTCACCAAAGCAACCACGATTCAAATCGCCTTTGATTACAAGTATGTACGCAAGGAACATCAGGGTATGTTCAAGGCGTTCAGCAAAGCCGCGAGGGGCCTGACTGGTTATCCAATCGATGGAATACTCATTAAACAAGGGTTGAGGAGGGCAAGCTGGGAGGTCTTCTGTCCCGTTGACGATATTGGGGCACCGCCTGCCTATGATAATCCCCGTAAGCGGCGAAGGCAGGGTGAGTTATTTATTGTCTAAACTATGGTAATTAATTAACATCCGCAGCAAGCCTTGGGTCACCCAATCAGTCACCGAAACGGTTCGCACCCCAATCGCCTACTAAATCCGACACCTCTGACACTACTGTACCGCTGAGCCCGGCTGCAGCTGATGCTTTGATAAAACAATTCACGCAGGTGTCGCGCGAAGTTGACCATCAGACTGAGGCTATCAATGCGGCAGTTAGCAAACAGCTGCCTGCGTATCTTGAGAAGGTCCTTCCTGACGTCCTCGAAAGTCTGCTCGCTGGCGCACCTAAGTCTCATGTTAGCTCACCAGCCTCTTCATTCATCTCTGTCGATTTTCTCGGGAACAAATATCCAAAGCTACCACCCCTTACACCGTTGGGAAAAACATGGATTCCTCACCTCCGTGTCCATCTCGCCCAGCAATTTCAGCAATACCAGGCCCGGCAATTACAGCGTTTCGAGCAACTCGTTGATAAAAAGCTGGATGAGGTCTGGAATGAAGCGTACGATGCACGAGCCCATGAAACGGCAGAAATGATGAATGAGATGGAGGAGCATAAAGCGGACATTGCGCTGTTGAAAGAGGATACTATCAAAGATCTTGGGCGCGAAATCGAGGATGTTTTCACAAAGTGTAAGGAAGAAGGAGATGTGCTGAGCAATGACGTCAATGAGCGGTTATCAGAGCTCTGTGATGGAATTTTTGATGAGAAGAAACTGAAACTGCGAAAGATGATTGCGAGAGAATTCAGCAGGCAGAAGCGAAAGAAAATGGGCGCGTTGAAAAGAACGGGAAAACGGCTAGGGAGGAGTGATGGGAGGCTGCTGGGGAGAAGGAGAGAAGAAGAGGAAGAGTGGATTGACTGTTGAGGCTCCCAGTCAACTTACAAAGTCATGCGCTTCATCTTGCATAGTATCCTCACATGCCCGCTCTTGACGAAAACTCCGCACCTTCGTATACAATGAGAGTTGATGTATTGCTCATCTCAGCAGATGTGGCATTCCTCTCGTTGGGAAGCCGCCAGCTTGTTGGAATAATGACCGTACAGTTGGAGCCCGCCCTTGCCCTACAGGGGATTGCCTGTAGGTCTCTACTCCAATCACCTTCAATGAGAAAGAACAGGTTGTTATCGGGAAACCATAATGAGCCACAAAGCTTTCTAAGACTTGGATGTCAAGGGAATGACTAGGGAAGCTTTCATACATGGTCTGTAATAGCAACTGCTAAAAAGACAGAAGATATACTCTCGTATTTGCTACCACTTGTTTTGCGCGTCTTCTCTGCTTCCTTGTTCCCAGATCCGCTCCCACAGCCTTTGTGATAACGTCTTTTTCCTGGCTTAGAAAATCGTGTTACCAACATCACACGCTCTCTGTATTTCAACCTACCACCAGAAGTTATACAAAGAAAGAAAGCCCTCTTTTCTTCAGCGACGCAATCACAATTGATCCCTATTCGGATCCAACCGCCAATTCGAGCAGTCTCCCGAGAGCACACACCCCTGTTTCCTATTCTCCCCATGCTCATCACATTGATTAATAATCTTCCTAAACTCCGTCTTGCACACATTCACGTCAACATACCACTCACAACCCGAGCCCCACACGGCTTCGACGAACGCGATAATCTCCATAGCTGTGATTTGGAGACTTCATAAATGTATGTGCGTTTGGCTTCGCCTGCGTTCCATATTTCGGTCAGTTTCTTGCCTTTGAGGGATTGGTCGCAAGATTTGTCTGCGCTGTCGATCATGCCTGCGCGCCGGGTTTATACACCTCTGCCGTCGTAGCAATTGTTTTTTTTTGGTTTGCTGAAGCTAGGTGTTTCTGCGGTGGGGGCTGCTGTTTTGCTGTTGTTGTTGTCGTTGGCGTGACGATGACGGTTGTTGGGCTTGTTGCGGTGACGTGCCTGTCTCGGTGCAGCCCTTCCTCCCACCGACCGCGATTGTTGTCGGTGCCCATGAACTCACCTTTAGATATATAAGGAATATCTATACCTACTCCAGAGTCGAGAGTAGATGTCCCTCCGCGAGGAACCATTGTATGTGCCACAGGGATGATGATTGCAGACTCTGGTGATTTGTAGCCGTTCGCATCTCCCAATCTTACGCCCGTTTCGTCATCGAATTCAATCGAACATATATAAAATTTGATTGACCATACGTCGAAGTCAATCGAATACGTCGACATTAATTGACTACGTTGACACCAATCGACCATGCATCGAAACCACGACAACGTCGTCGTCGACGTCGATCGACCACGTCGAAGTCAGTCGAACTTATATCGACGTTAATCGGCCATGAATTGAATTTGATCGTCGATAGGTCGATGTCAATCAACCACACGTCGAAGTCATCGAAGTCAATCGACCATGTTATGATGCCACCGAGACAGTATGGATTCGCAAAAGCTTCTTTCATAGCATAAGTCCCCGCGTCGTCGTAGCCTACCTAGATGCTGCCCTAGCAGGCGAAATATTTCAATATAGCTATGTTGTTGAAGTATGGTGTTACCCTTTTTTCTTTGATAATCCTCTTGATCTCGCGGTTTGAGAGGACGCCAGGAAGATTATTACAAGAACCCGCCGCACCTCCTTTTTCCGGGATGAAGCTGCAGCCCATCTTCCTACAGCTTGAATCAGCTGGTGTATACGTACGCTAATAACATGCAAGGCCCATGAATATCTTCGCAGGGTCTTCACTATCAAACCACAGTGGTTTGAGATTCTTCTCGATATTAGTGATGTTGGTCTGAAGCCGCACTCTTGATCCCACCTTTTAACGTCAGTGTCCAAGGGATCATGCAAATCACAGCTCATGAATCCTACCCAGTCGATGTAGTTCTGCATCTCGGCTGGCTCAGAACCGCGCAGGTACCAATAGTCGGGTGCGAGGGTAAGCCTGCTGCCATGCCTCCTACCGAACTGTTTCTTGATCTCTTTCATGAGAAGGAATGAATTATCAGTATCATGTTTATGGTCTCTTCGCTTCAGCTCAGCAGGGTATTCCCAGTCGATATCTGCGCCTTAAAAGCCAAACGTGTCTATGAACTTAACGAGAGATTGGATAAAGGCTCGTCGGTTCGCTTCAGTGGATACCATGTCAGTGTAGGCATGGTATGCTGGGGTACTGGGACCATTAAAAGACCAGCCTCAGATCGCGATCCAGATCTGGAGACTGCTGCGCTTGAGTGCGGTAAACTCGCCATTTAAATGAACATGGTCGGGATTCATAGGCATCATCTCGAACGTCTGGGGATGAAGAAAACAAAGTCGTAGAGCAAATGGAATAGCCCACGTGTGTTGATCTGGCGAGTTATGGCCTTGTCGCATACGTGCTCATGGGTGTTCCATCCTTGGTAGTACCCGATCTGATGTCCCTTTGACGTGTCAGAGCCCTTACCGCATCAAGGCGATGGCTTGATCCCACAAGAACCGAATCCTTGCTGACATAGACTAGAGTATGTTTAGTAAAATTAAAAAGGGCCTACGAGAGCTGTTTGCTTACGTCTTGCTAATCGGAGGTTCCGGGTTCTTGCAATGGATACATTCTCTTCCGCACCATCCCTAGTAAGAGCAGCAGAGCTTGAGCCTGCACTTCGTATTTTCACCAGCTGATTAAATAACGCACACGGCCTTTGCGTCGCAGTGGGATATACAGTTCTCTAGTATATACTGGGCTGCTTTGAATCTACACTTGCCCTCCTTACTGCAGCATGATTTGCTGAAGCAAGATTGGCCCGGGCCGTATTGGATGGGATCATCTGCACGTTTTTGAAATCCGAGACGGTAAGGCTATATTTGCTGGTCTGCATGTTGAGTATCCGGAAAATGCGTGCAGATGCTTGTATACACTTCTGAGATTGGAACTGCACGTTGCAAAGATGAGTTATACTGTAAATAGATGTGGCTTCTTCAGGCGTTCATGTAGACCCAAAACTATGCCGCAGTATCTTGTCTGACCTAAGGCGCTTAGATACAATCTCCTGACACTTTAGCCTACATGATACCAAATGGTGTTGGATATCGAATTCGGCAAGTCTGTTCCTTCGACTATTTCGGCTTAATAAGGCGGAACCGACGGCCCTGAATCTTCCTTTCGTACTCATAAACATTATTTAGTTGTTGGGCCCAAAGGATATCCCTGAATTTGGTATCTGCCGCGCGGGGCATCATCTCGACATAGACAATGACGTTACCATCCTCAGTCTGGTATGCCCAAGTGTGTCGGAAGTACAAGAGTGTCTCCGACCAAGGCTCTGCGGTCATTATTCGCTGAGCTCTCTTGACTTCATCCAGATGCTCGTTCAAATATGCATGGACCTCGGTGACAAAATTCTTGAATGTAATCGATGCTTCATCCTCGTTTTGAATGATGAGTGGGGCCGGAGGTCGATAACCGTCCTCGGGCTCACTATCGTACGAGAGTCGAAATTTCTCGTCACATTCACGGCTGTTGACCTCGATACGGCTCACACTAGGCACACCGAAGTCTACGTCTGTGGAAGAATGGTCGAAAAGCGCGCTAATCGTCTTCATTTTTAGGCCCCGAGACAATTTCGATACCACGTAAGTCGGCCAGAAGATTCCAGTGCAGTCGGTACAGGAGGTCCATACGGATACAGTAGTTCACCATTGGGAAGGCATAATAGCGGCGTGGTTAGGCGCGTAGGAAGTTGAGGAAAGATTGTTATAGTGTCGGGCGAGAAAGTGGATAGGTAAGCTACTATAAATCGAGGCGGATTCTTACTCTTATTTATTGTTTTGCTACGTCGTTAAGAATTTACCCGGGCTATGCTCAGAGCAGCCCTAACTTGGTCATCCCAGGTGACCCCAAACACTAGTGGAAGGATGAACCACTTTTTTTGTTGATAGGGCGGCTCGGCAGGGCTGTGGCGGGAATGCACTCTAGCCGAACCTAAAGTTTGCATGGATTCGTGAATCTGCGCCTTGCACACGTGATAATACATTAGGTTTATTGGCCTTTTGGCCCTGAGAGATTTGTTAACAACAGGATATATCTGTCTTATATATTGCAAACCTAAGACTGGAAGCGCCACCTGTAAATTTTGTCGTCTTGCTTTACTGCCGCAATAGCTATGCTCACCTAGCCAGTATTGCTCCCTATCACTCTCGCAGCGCATCAAAGAGTTTTAATGGTTCTGGTGGGCTGTTCAAAAGGAATTGTTGTTCTAGCAGTGGGTGTTGTGGGACGACGGATGACCATTGTAAGGCTGGGTGCCAACAGAGCTACAAGACATGCAAGTAGACTTGTACAGATAATTGCATATTGCATTGGAGATCAAATTGTTCATGTATAGTGACATGCTAACTGACTATTTCGTAATTTGTTCTCAATTGAATGATCTTTACGCTTAAAATGACTTCTGTCAACGACCTTCTAAAGGTTATCCAATTCAGTGATCCAGGCGACACGCGCGATATACTTCAATCTTTCCATATTTTGTAAACTATCTAAGGATTGATGATAATGCCACCGTTTCCTCCATTGCCAGCACGACTGCCGGGCACCAATGCATCACCACCGTTGCCACCCTGCTTGACCATTAATTGCATGATACATAAAATTGCTGTGCTGGCACCCAGCACCCGCCTAAATTGGAAGACTTACATTGGCAATACCATCACCCTTCTTGCCATTTTTGCCGTCTTTACCATGCTTGCCATCTTTGCCTTTTGAGTTCCCAGAGAGACTTACGCTTCCACCTGTAGCTGACGTGCCAATTCCAATATCTGAAGCTCCAGTTATAAACTCGAGGCTACGCTTCTTGACAGGATTTGGTTCAGGTTCGCGAATGTGAATGGAAATTGACGAACCAGGGTCCTGAACACAATTAGTGAGTACAATAGAAAGATGAAAGGAAATATGGCTCAATTACGTTTCCCACTGAACCTCCTTGGGATTGGCCGCCAATTGAAAGAGCAGGGCCTCCAGTTATGATTGAATGGGAACCGATTGAGAACTTAGAGTCGTCCCCATCATCGGCAGGATCGCGTTTGACACGGGGGACCTTGATGGGATATCCGTCGACGACAACAGCCGGAATGCCGAGGCCAATTGAAAGATCGGATTCGCCTACACCGGGGTTGGCGGGGCTGCGTTTATCTTCAGAGACCTTAGGAACAGGCCCATCGAAAACAGGACCCGGGCCTTCTGAACCGATTCTCAAAGGTTGTAGGGTGGGTGCCCCTAGGGCAACTCCTGAAAGGAAAGAAAGGACAACGGCAGATCTCATCGTGATGAGTTAGCGGTGCAGTCAAACAAAGACAGTGGACTGAGGGTCGTTTGATGAGAGTGGGATAAGGAGAGGAGAAGAATCACAGGTTGAGAATGGAGGTAGGAGAAGTAGAGGCTAATCAAAGCTCAAATGAAGAAAAATTATTTGGGGGACTTTCCTCTGGTTTATATATAAACAGGATGTTGTAAATCTTGCGGAACCTGGCCAATTTTTCTATCACTATAGTATGAATGGTAACTAACGCTAGTAACATCAAGCCTAATGATACCCTTCTCACCACAAATGCCGTTATCCGTCACCTGTCCGCCATAGTCCCAAAATAATTTCTCCTCTCCGCATAGTTGGCATCAGCAACCTAGCCTTCTCTCGAATACGAATAATCACGAGAATATTCGTCATTTCGAAAGATTCCAAACCCGTCAAGTGTCAAATACGAAACACGTCAATCATGTCGTAAAGTGCATTAGGAAAGGGAACCCTAGTATTGTAGCAAGTGTGGCGATGTGGCACCACTACCTAGCTTAACCACATGATATAACGTCATATATTCCCGTGTAAAAGCCGTACGAAGCGAAGGACCACGGGGGGCTAGCAGATCTGAGGGATATCTTGGGGTAAGAAGAAGTACTGGAGGATCACCAATTCATGTGGACTGGTGAGTACTTGTATTTCGGATATGGATTCTTGTAGTATACTAGAAATTCCCAGTGCAACAGATTAACAATCATCTTGCGGGATTTTGAAGCTGGCGATCTGTAAAATCTGTCAATAGCGATGGCGGACAAGATCTCGGTACTTGCTTACACAAGGCTCACGGACGTATAGATGAGTCTTGTGCAGCCTCATCTCAGCTGTAGTACCTAGAACGAGGCATCCGATTCGCCCAGTTTCGTCTCAGCCGTAGTGCTGGAGCCGGCAACTTGGCATTAAGCATATGCCAAGTCCCGCGCTAAGAAGCTTAATTCAATGCTTTATGTAGACTTGGAAACGTGTCGGCAAATGTCAGCACAGGGCTTTGCCTATTTGGGTATTACAAGAAGTCATATTCTTAGAGCCCGCCGTCACTCCTGCTTCCATGCATCAACGTTGTAAAACGGCTGCACACAGACTCTTTTTTCGTTGTATCCACTTGTGCTGGGCCTCGAACCTTCATGGTCGTGCATAGGCACAGGGTTCTTGCGACGAGTACTACGAGAAACAGAAAATCGCGCGCGGAAGCAGTGTTCCGCCTACTATATGCCCGTGATGCGCGCTAAATAGCGGCAGGCGGCCCCGGATTTACCTGAAGTCAAGTTTCATGATGTAGTCGTCGCCGTAAAGGGTGAAATACATGATTCGTGAATTCCGCGTCTGTAGTAGGCTTATCATTGATGTTTACTCTATTGTGTTTACACACAGTAAATTCAACCATTCAGATTACTTTCTTAACAGGAGACGCTAGGTAAGCCAACCTAGGTGCTTCTATTCTCCGCAGCGGAAATCGTCCGGTCCAATGCGCGCTCGGCTGTTCCCGTGGGAATTCCGCCGATGTTGTTTGGACTCTTGTTACAGATCAGCCTTAATAGCGCCGATGTGCCAAGATTCTATTAGTGGCTCCAAGCAAAAGCTTAATAATCCAGCCAAGACCGCATTGAGGTAGTCCATGAGGCTTGAGCTTCAATATATTCTCTCCATAGTCTCGTAAAAGATTACTGTAAAGGGACTAGTGGTCTGCTTAGTATTACAATTATTTCTCTAAGTTTAGAACTTTCCTAAACACTACCTTGTATTGTTACTCGTATCGTCATGGTACCTTCGCTTCTCACCTGGCCATCTCTCAATTCACCCTACTCATGCCCACCGTCACGTACGTCAAAGCTGTCAGGATCGTCATGACATGGCTGTTCGAGACAGGCTCTGTCAGTGCAGAGTAGGTTTGTCAAAGCATGTCAGTGTACTGTTCAAACACGTTAGCTAGACTCTATCAACCGAGGTTGCTATCCTCTCCACAGGAATATATAAATCAACGCTGGTTCCCTTCGATGAATCATCATCACACATCACTCCCTCTCTCATCTCCTCTCATCTCACTTCATTTCAATCAGTCTCGACGACTACTCTTCTTTATACAGTTAGCTGGAACTACTCTCAATCTTGATTACTATCAAACTTTCATCTCATCAACAAACATGAAGTACTCAATCATCTTTGCTATCGGCTCCGCAGCGCTGGCTGTAGCGGCTCCCGTCACTGTTGACATCAACAGTCGTGATACAACTGTCGTTACTGGCGGTGCTGGCATCGGATTCGAAGGCAGCGGCCGCGGTGGCAACGTCGCTAATGGTGGCGATGGCGGTAACAGCCGCAAAGGTGATGGCGGTAACGGCGGT